CCATCCTATGGTCTTACCAAAAGCAATCCATGTGTCTTTAATAAGCATCAGATTTCATATAACTAACTAAGTATTCCAAAGTGGGTCAAAATGTAGGGTTTGTCAAGTCAGGCAATAAAGCATTTAAAAGCTAAAGTAACATGATTCACCCATCACCCATGTGTCGCTTCACCGTGCACACTTGGAAATAAAAAAAAACCTCTCACTCTTTCAAAGGGAACTAACTGGATTTGTTCTACTGACCAATGAAGCGTCTCGTGCACTTTAAGATAAAAGTCGTTTAAACCTTGATGTCCCTCTCTAGTTATCTAGGCCATGTCTTTTAAGATTCAGGACCAAATAGGTTCTCTTAATTGATGCTTTGAGTCTATACAGGCTCTTAAAATAAAACATATTGACTTCACAAGAGATAAGATGGCCCAGTTTGAGTGGTATAATCTTAATTGACTATTTGACTCGATCAATCTCCCATTAACCCTACGGGAGATTCGCTTTTCTCTACGGCGTAAGGCTTTACTGACAGTAGAGAGCTGAGCAACGGTAGTATATTGCTATGGTTTCTTCCGACTACATCTACACATTGTGTTGCTGTGTACATTAAGATGCAATCACTCTATCTCAAACAACCGAACAAGTTGAGTGAGCGATAACGCAGTTCTCTACCATGTGTTGAGAAATAACCTTTTATACACATAAGACATAACATGATTGGACTTCACTCATCTTGTCTTAAAGATCACCACCTCAGATTTCCAATCTCATTCTGCAGCAGAATACAAGATTAAACGTTAACATGAATATTTCTCCCTTGGGACTGGGAAGTAGGGCAATACACAGACCTAATTTCTGCTAAAAAAGAGCCATATATTATGTGGGTCAGTCTCCCGGACAGTTTTCACAGTTGGCATCTTCCAGGAAGGTTTTGCGGGTTTCATATTTTGTGAATAAATGGCTGTGATACGTCTTGGTGAAGCCCTTGAGACCGTCTGTTCATGTATCTCACTGTCTGCTCATTGCGTGTTCCCCGTGGTGCTTGACGCAACTCCCAAATCCATCTCCTTCGCCCACCTGATCTTGCATAGTTAATCTGGTGTTTTTTGACATGATTACGATCTGAACCAACGAACATCTGATTGAAATGTGCTTATGTGTCTCAAGGGTCTTACTGCTGTTGTACTTTAAATGGAGGATTATTTCACAGTAGCTTTATTCCGTACGGTGTTCAATATTTGCAAACCTTATTTACACTTTCAAATGGTCTGAGGAAGTCTTAGTACCCAACCTGTATACAATGTGTTCTTGCAGCCCGGTAAGTGCATAATGTATAAGTGAGATTATCATTAAGATCTAAAATGACAATTTTGTTCTTTATTTCATTAGTTTCAAATAATTTTATAAACTCGCCAAAACTATTCGTACATGGCCCCTGTTCATTTAAACCAATGAGCAGCAGCAAGCAAGCATGTTGGCACTCAATGGCCAAAATTTCCAGCCATTTCATTTTGGCTGATAAGACGCTCTGCTGCCGTTATAATCTTCCCTCTAGTTTATCAGTGACAGCTGTTGTGACACTGAGAAGTGGAAAATAAAGCAATCCCCGAGGAACACAGATGGTGGCGGTGTTCGTGAGTGCATGTTAATTTGTGACTTTTTATGCATCAACAGGTTCGGGTGCAAAATAGGAGCATCGTGAACGGAGCCAGAGGAAGATCTCCGTTAATGGCAACAGGATCTGCACATCTGTATTCTGTTCTGTGGAGAATGCCTGCACGAGCGTAACGCATCCTTTGCTGCATCACGGCTACGAGTGAGTGACTAGAATGGCGGAAGGGACCCAAAACAACCAAAAGCATTTGGTGTATAGATCTGTGGTGAGAGTTTGGGTGATCAATGGGAAACGCTGTATTCACAGTGCCAAGGTGAGGCATTCGTGGAACAGCGTTGTGAAAAATGGCACACAGCACCGGGGAATCAGACCGCAGCTTAATAAAGCAAGAAGGTCGCTCATTGTTCAGCTTTTTTTTTTTTTTTTCAACAGACTGCCCGGGGGAGTGAGTGGTGGTGAGAGACAAACACGGTAGAGAGGGACTTAAAGAGAAGATGCTGGCCTATTTTACATTTTGTCCAGAGGAGAACTGTCATCAGCACATACAGTCACAAATTCATCCGAAAACCGCAGGTAGGCTACGTATGTATGTATGTATGTATGGAGTTCACATCATGTAAGTGCCTTTGAAAAGTTACAAACAGTGGAGGCAATACATGTTTTCACCAACGTCTGTGGAATTTTATCTAGTTTGCTTTTTCTGCAAAAGCCCTTTTCTTCTGATTTAAAGATTTAGTTCGGGGGGCTTTTCTGCTGCTAAGAGATGACAGTGTTGAATGGGATTAAATGATCGCCTCCACACGGCTAACAGCAACTCACCATGTCTTTAGATAGCTAATTGTTTGCTGCTATATTAGTATCAACTTCAAATATAGCAATTTCAGTGGTGTTATTCTTGACAAACGGGGGGAAATAATTTAAATTATTTAAAATCTTAGCGGTTTTATTTGTTTTTTGGTCTTGTCCCTAAAAAACACTGTCATCATTGCATCAACACGGCTATATTTCAAGTTTAGAAGTCGCAAAATGTTGAACAGGGCATTCACAGCCAACAAGAAGGACACGAGTTAAGGCAAATATTTCCGTATTACACAATGAAAACGAAGAGTAAGAAAGTTCATGTGTCCGTGCCGTCTGCTAGCAGTGCCAGAGTATAAAAGTTCCGGTTTGTTCAAAGCAACACTGTCAGAAACAAATGGAAGTAGTTCCCAGACGAGAACCAGGTCGGTGGATAATTTGACTTGTTGCCATACGCAGAAAGCGCGCTCCTACACTTGTTCATTTGCTGTTCTCTTTGCACAGGAGTATCACCATGTAACGAGTCCCCGACTTAGTGAGTCATCCATGATTAGCCGTTAGATTGTGCTGAGCATTTGTCTCCACTCGGCTGACAATCTGTAGGAGTCTCACTGAGCTCCATATCGAGCTGTTTGTGTTTCTCGGAAAAGACATCAATGCTGCTGCTCCGTCAAATCTATACCAGCCCGCTGTTTCTGCTGCTTGCCTGACGGTAAATCTCAAAGTGTTTGGCGATGAATCAAAGCACAGGGATTTTTAGAAAGCATAGTACACTGCAAAGCTACTTAGCCCATGACTATCATGCCAAGCCCTACTAATAGAACTTAAACAGCAGAGAAGCTGTTCCTGGGGACCAGGCAGTGGAACTACAAAGTGTAACAAACACCATGTTAATAATGCAGCGGGGGGTTATGCAATGCTGGGTAAAGAGTTTGTGTCTTGTTTGCATGTAGCTAACATATTTAAATATCCATGCAGACCTGTAAAGGAATGAGCATTTCAAAATGCCTCATGAAAACAATATCTTCTGCCAGATAAAAAGGTAGAAATGCTTGAATCTCTGTATTCCTGTCTACATTGTTGTGTCTGTTGTATGATAACCAACAGGAATTTTGAAAAAGGGGCAAACAGATTTCAATGCAAACAAACCACCATTATTTTACAGGATTTATTAATGCATTTTAGCTTCAGGTGTAAACTAGGTTATTTTAATGTCAGCTCACCCAGGGGTCGAGGCGGATTGATGTGGTTCTGTTCGTTCTACGGAGCGTTCGCTACCTGCGTTTGCAAATTTGAGGGACAGAAATGGGTCATGTCTGTCGAAGAAGAAAAGTCACAAATCTGAATAATGAATAAAACACGAGCAGCTTAACGGCTGGACACTGCCGCAAAGACTAACTCAAGCCTGCAATATTACTATACACAACACGATAATGTCTTTAAAAAAGTGACATTGTCATATAATTTATTTAGGAATGCTGATTACATGAAAGAAAAAAAAATGGTCAACCTTCTGAAATTACTTTCATCCACTTCCGAGTTAATCACAGTTTTGCTGGTGGGTAAAAGCAACATTAAAACATTGGTAATGCTTTTATCTCCATAATTTCTCTTTTCATTCCAACGGTGGTTTCTGGAAAAAACTACACATGTAATTTGATACTCATGAAAGGAGGAGGATCTGTTTAGTTGGTAATTCCCGTTAATATTGATGGATTAGGGTGACTATCCCAAAACAGACGGGACTGGAGGTACTCTGTTGCTGCCCTATTCGCCAGCCAGAGCAATGGAGATGAGTGCCAGTCAGTAAATTATTCATTACCGGCGTATCACAGAAGATCATAGTTATCTACAGTGAAGATTTGATTTTGATTTTGATTTGAAGCATTTTATTTCTTGAACATGTAGACACCAAATAATAAAAAATGTAAAATCAACATAGACGTAGACCACAAAATGAGAAATACACCTTTTGTTCAAGAAAAGGAGTAGGGGGAAGCAAAAGCTTATAGATACCCACCCCTATCTTATCCATATTCTCATCCATATTCCCATATTCCATATTCCCATATTCTCAAGATAAACATATACTGTATTGATATATTTTCTAAAGGATGAGGAGCCTATAACGTACTGTTCAGCAATGTCAACCAGAGCAACATATACATGTTTGGATTAGTTTTAGTTCTTCTTTTTGTGGTTTCAGTTATTTAAACTAAACCATCAATGGAAACTTGAATTAACTTCATCCATTCAACTTGAATTATTAATTGCATTTTTTCTCTTTTTACATTTTTAAACACAGTCATCGTGGTTCAAACACAACGTTCTTCTGCAAACGAGTATGCTTTGATGAACAATTGCTACCTAAAGAGTGGGAAATCAATCCACACACATACTTCAATGCAATTCAATAAATCTACCTGTCTAGTCAACACAACCCGTGATGATGAAGATTGTGTTTGGAAGTTTTAAAGTGCAATTGGAGAATGGTTATTTTCAATATGATCTATTATTTAACAATCCTCTGTGTTTTAGAGCCACAGATTTAAAAATGTTGTTCTGGAAGAGCCCGAAAAACTATTGACCAGCTAAATAAATTTGCAATAATGTTTATTCTCAAGGGTTTTTGTTGGGATGTCTTTGACCCCACTTGTGGTGAAGGGCAGACCACCTGAGCTTCACTCTCACTTTAGCGTACACGTGTGTTAAAGCGTGCATCCTGACTGATGAATATTGAGTGATGACATTACTTTGAAACCCGAGTGAGAGTTCAGCGAGCACAGCGGGAAAACTCAGAAGTGGGTTACCGTCTTCACAAATCGTGAGGCGGTCATGTGAAGTGTGAGTTTGGCCTCTGCTAAACCGCAAACACTGGAGCACAAACGAAAGCCACTATTGTTAACCCTCATTTCCCGACACGTCCTTTCCTACCTGCAGCAAAGGAACTTTCATACACACTTGCGGCCGAGAGGCTTATTCTTTAAAAGGGGCCATGCTAGCCAATCAAATACGGGCAAGGAACTGGAACCTTACTTGTAACAGCATATTTCGAATCTTCTTATATTTCATCTTCTGTGTCTGAGGAAGTGTGCCAGCTATTGCAGCGCCTTGCGTTCCCCATGGCCAGCAGGGGGCCGAGTCTGCGCTGCCTTTATAGTGGTAAAAAAAAACAAAAAACTGCCACATAAGTCAGTATCCTCTCTTCCAAAAAAGCAGAACAAATATTTTCCCTAATCTACATTGATTCATTGCCTTCTTTTTCTGTTCGGGGATCAATCATCTGGAATGGGAGAGTTACAGTTCCCGTGGTAGATATAGACAAGTCCTTCACAGCGATAATACATCTGAAAAACGTCTCCGTAGCCGTGGTCCCGCCACCACGTGCACAGCTGGCGATTCCACCCGCAGGCCAGCGGATGGAAGAGCTCCGGGTGCTCCATGCCGATCATGGTGAAGAAGTCCTGGTCCCCTAGGTGGCCCCTGAAGCGATACTGGTCTGCTAGTTTGGCCACGTGGCTCGGCTCCAACAACCGGTTGTAGAGCGCCGAGGCCCTCATAGCGCCGAGGTCCAGTAACATCACGCCGCTGTTGAAGCCCGGTAGGCCTTCGGGGGGCGGACCCCCTACTCTGGTTTGAGGGTTCTCCTTACGATACTGCCAGAAGGTGTGTCTGAGGAAAGACAGAAAGGCTCACTTTTAAATTACCGCATTTTGTCCGTGAAAAAAGTCAACAACCAAACAACAAATATTTTATCCAGAAGCCTGGAATATGTCAGAAAAGTCTAAATTAATCAACAGTTAATTTAGACTTCTTCAACCACCTTCTTGTGTTGATTAAAAAGACTCTGAACCGCTACCCGTCTCTTTGCAACGTGTGGAACTTGTACAGCGATGGTGAAATGTCTCACCGATGCGCAAGTTTGGGCTGTTGCACGTCCAGGAAGAAGGGAGGGTCAACTCTACAAAAACTGCACAAGCACAAAAAAAACAAAAAAAACCTGTTGTTCCAGGCGCGTGCCAGACGCTCGTGCCAACAGCACCTTGTTCTGCCAACAGACCAGCTACTAAGTAGCTGAATGACACAGAGCTCCCTTCAACAAACACTTGTACTTTATATGCACAACTGTTACTCGTGTCCAGAAAAACGTGAGATCCCAGAGGTGGCTGTATGGGAATGTATTCTTTATCTCATCTCATGTATGTGTACATGAGATGAGATTAGTGCTGGCCAAGCCTACGTTAGATTAACAAGGATTCATCTAGGAGTGAGTTGCTTTTTAAACAAGTGGGCAATTCATTTTGAAAAAAAGTAACAAGAGAAAAAAAAAACATTGTTGATACAGATGAATGCATGTGGGAAAAAGATTGTGTCAAAAAAAACTAATATGATTCATATTGTGGAGGGGACCACTTGCTCAAATCTAGTGGGAGAAGGGAGATTCTCTGAGGCACTCTTTGATATTAAAGCTGACCTACATTCTGCAGCTGTAGCTTGTCCACACAGTTGTATACAATCTGTTGGTTTGGTAGCTGGGGACCTGTGGCCTGTGTGGAGCATTTGTCATCCTTTAAGACATACACTGGGTGTACGGGGGGGGGGGTAGGTCATTAAGGGAACATTTACACAGGCGTCTTTATTGCGATGCCCCTCTGAGCCACTCGGCTGGCTGTGTTCTTGCTCTGGATGGTTTCCCGGTGGGAGGAGCTGGCACACTCGCCTCCCCAACCAGCCCATCTGATTGGAGGTTCCAAGGACACGATAAAAGACAAGACTTCTGGGAGTTTCTCTCGCTCTCCTTGGAAAATGTTTGGGTGTGTGTGTGTGTGTGTGTGTGTGTGTTGTTGCCAACCTTGAGCTAGGGGGTAAATTAATGTTCCACTGTGTTATGTTGTAACAGCCAAATATTACATCTGTGTCATGGTGGCTGTAATATAAGGCTGACAGCAAAGTAGCCTTATAAACAATACAGTGGCTGGGCTTCTTTAATGAACCTGATCAAACATTTTAGCACGTCCAACTGGAGGATTACGCAATCGGGTGCGTGCATGTGGACGCCTCGGAGTCTCAAACCACGGCAATCTCTAAATTTCTCGGTGAAAAAAAACCCCGCCATAATATTTTGGGTGACCAGATATAGCTGCTATGCCCACAGCCTCTCCTGGTTGCTGTGACTCCCGTGTTCTCAAAAATAACTTTTATTAAAGTGCTTTATTGGGCTGCCTGCCGACTGCTCCCTCACTACTGGATGGAGAACACAGCGGAGCAGCACTCTGTGCCCAGAGAAACAGAAGTCACACTGCGAAGAACCTCGCCGCTACTCAGCTGCTGCCACGTGGGAGGATGGTTGATTTAGATTAATCTAGTTTTTTGCCAAAATTGTTTGACATGTCTTCAATTTTGAGTGGATTGCCTTTCATCATACTATTTCAGTGATTTTTTAAAGTTAGGCCAGAGTGCGTTGTACAACACCTCGGAGCCTGTAAGTGTCTTGGTGGCAAATTGTGGGTTGTAGTTGATCAATCACACAATTCCCTAGAGATAGAACACTGTCCTCATACCAGTATATTTTGACAAATATTTAGTTTTAATCAGATGATAATTAACCATTATAGAAAACATTGTTGATCCCTTAAAAAACAGACAGATTATGACTGATTCTAGGCTCTGAACAGTTGCTTGGCAACAAGTGGAGGTTGCAGAAATCTAAGCGTATTTCACAAATCTCACACTATTCCTCAAATAAAATAAACTAGGATAAAATCATAATAAAAATAGTCAACAAATGTGCTTTTTTTGGAAAAGTTAGTTTTTTTTTCTGTAAAGCCGTTAGGATACGAATAATGTGTGAAACCTGAAAACTGCTTTGATAACAATCTACATTTGATTAGTTTTCTTCCATTTAAACCTGGGAGGCAAAAGGATATACATGTACTTTCTTTTAACTAATGCAGTCTAGAGAAAAACTAGAATAAGTGGGATGCATCACATAATGGAGGCTTGGTAGACAAAGGGGGAAAAAAAGCGTGATTTGCTTCTGGCCAACGTCTCTCATTGTGTGTGTTTGTGGTTTTGGCTATGACACTTATGTGAGTGGGCCTTATCTCTTGGGTTTTGAAAACATTCAAAATGCAGCTGCTGGGAAAGTACATGTGGCATTTTTTTCAAATGCAGGATGTGTTCTGAATGCAGCTGGTGGGAGGACGCGTTCTCAAACATTATGCTCTGTCTATTCGCACCTAAACGGTGTGGGAGCAGGGAGACCTTTCATTTAAAGGGAAACACTTCAGGTGACATAATAACTAGTTTGAAAATTAAAATATTGTTGGTCCTGCGATGTGCTTCAAAACTGTGAAATTAAAATCAAAATTTGTTGGTAGAACGAGTTGCTTGCAAATGGTCATCCACACCAAAAGCGGTATACACAGACAGAGAACCAGTTGACAGTGTGAAAGTTTAGTTAGCGTCCCTTGATTTTCAAACAGGGAGGCTTTGCATGCTAAGATGCACAATCTCCGGCTATGTTGCGGTGTGTTTTTAGATGATCGTCTCCGGGGCTACAGTAACAACAGCAGCGCGCTATTCCCAGGGTCAGTAACCCATTGAGCCGGTGCAGATTTCATTTCACATTTCACTTTTTAAACTACATATGCAGAAGCCTGACTCACAAACGTATGCAGTTTGCCAACCTTTGCAGACAAATACTAATTTCCACTGATGGCTTTTTACATCATGGCAACCATTTTATCCCACAAATCAGGTAAAAGGACGTACATAATAGAGCACGTGAGAAGTGCTATGATCATGTTATGGGGATAGAATGTGTGTTTAACTGGAAGAATGCTGAAATTGATTTGATGCAATCTTGAGTTTTTTGTAGCTATATAATAACACACTCAATTCACAGTTACGGCTGTGCGGTGGTGTTAGGGAGAAGAGGGATTCCCCACCACACAAATGACCTGCGAACACAGCGGGAGAGAGAACACAAATTGAACACGGGACTTAAATTCTGTCCTTCACAATTAACGCCAATTACTGACAACTGATACAGTCAGCTCGCAGTTGGTGTTTGTCGTTTTAACAAGTGAACAGTCAGTCTTGGATAAAAGGGAACGACTGCTACCTTAATGCTACTAATATACGTCGTATTTTAGCCGACATTAAGATCCTTACACACTTAGAACACCGAAAGCATAATGCGGGCGTGCGCGCACACACGCGCACACACACGCAAACGCTACATCTGACGGAGTGAAAAGGAACTTAGTCATTTGTTGTGTGAGCTAGCTGCAATTGAGAATGAGGTGCGCTAAAATAGAACATGACTAGTTACATTACATCACTCAACACCACACAAGCTCCTACACTTAATGAGGAGAGCTAGGCTAGGTGAGTGGAAGTTAGGTGGGCGGGTATTAGCCTACTGCGCGCGCGTGCACACACACACACTTTTGCACTTCAAAACTGTAAGAAAATAACTGAATGTGCAAGTGTGGCCCATTAAAACCACAATCCATCTCCGGTCAACAAAAGTGAGCGAGCCGTTATCCCATTATTGGTAGTGGGAGAGAGATAAAGAAGAAATATTGCTAACGTGGCTGCACTTTCATGCATACATATAACATCAGCATTGCAAAACAGACTTTGCTCTTGATGATCTTGCCTTTCAGATGATTGTTCCAACTATTCAAGAAAGATTTTGCACAGACAAACTCAAAAGGGAAAAACAAAAACAAGATTGTCTGATCAAAAGCAGCTTTTGCATGTCGTTGCTTCGGATACATTTCAGTGTCTCCTCACAAAGAGCTGTGCTGGATGCTCAGCCCGTGTCACAACTGCACTAGGACATGTGCAGTCAGAATCAATGAAATGAATGTAACCAGGCAAATGTTGGACTTCAGGGACAATTATCTACTTCCATAAGTTGTGCCTAGACCTTTTTTTCATGCCAATGTATTTTGTGCTACACTGACCAATGTGCATTACTTGCATCTGGTGTGTTGTGCCACACTGCCTACCTGTAAACCGGCTGCATCTCTCTGGCAATACCTATAACCGCTCCTGGAGGAAACTGCTCAAATTCTTGGAAAAGGTCCCTGATGTTCGTCTTGTATTTCAGGTCCAGGTCAAGCTGCACTATGCGCGTCAGACCTAAGAGAAGAAAGAGCACAACACCGTGATAAGGCAGCATCACACTGTTAACAACCTGTAAGCTGATTGCTGTTTGATGGCTTGATCCATGTAAGTGAGTGAGGAATAATCATCTTTGAAAAGATCACAAAAACAAGGTAGTGCTCACTTTCGCTTTCCGTAATGTACCTATTGGCCTTAAATAAAAGTGAATCCCAGGAAAATGTCAATACATTCTGGGAAAGAAATGCTTAGAAAGTTGAGCAGGACTATAAAAAAAGTAAATGCTTGACAACTGTGAGTGAACATACAGTAAATTATTAACACAGTTGTTTGTGGATGAAACGGTAACAGTGTCCAGGATATTCAGCCCTCATCTGTTCATTGTTTCAGCTTCCTGTGTTTTGGTGGTTGGCATGGTGACAAAAGGTTGGGAAATACTCAGGAATGCTGTGCCAGGGAAACATGATGATGAAAACAATGGTCAGCTTTAGACAAACTGTCAAATATAGAAGGCTGGTCTACTGCAGAATTGGTGCAACTGGTGCTTAGGGACTAAATTATGACAACATAAAAATAATGATCAGTATGAATTGCCTGGATAATTTCAGATCTGTTTCAGTTATTGAAAGACTCGTTAAGATCCAGCAATTAAAATTCCAGAAGCACAAAATGTAAATTCAGACATTTCGTAAATTGAATCCAGCACGTAATAAAGATACATATATATATATATATATATGAGAAAGAAAATAAAGACGCACTTGAAAAATAAAGAAAATTATCAACCAGTTCAATGTAAGCAAGGCAGAGAAGTTCAATTTCATCTTCTCAGCAGCATGTGTTGCACGGTTGCTTAACTAATCTTGATGCTAATTTTCCATCTTTATGTTATGCCGTTTATACACACACACACTATGTTTTTTAAATGTACACCAGTGTTGCTTGCAAGTCATTATAAATAAACACAGTAATTATGTTGGTGTTCCTTAATTTTATGTCTGGCTAAAAGGGTTATTCCTGAAGTTAAAACTTAAAAATTCCAACTCTTAAGTTGGTTTAAAAATAAAATAAGTGTCCAGTGCAGGACTGACCTCAACATGCTAAAGAATGAAGGGTATGACTATTGGGAGGTCATAGCTGTGCTACACATTGGCTGCAAAGATGATTGGCAGTTTCTGTTGAAACAAGTGGTGGAAAAAGAAGATTCAGCAGTGCGGTGACCTGCTTTCCAAACAAGGAAGTTGCCACCACAATGCCTCCGTGTACTGCGGGCCAGAGAGGGGCTTTGCCGGGTAATCTCTGAGTGGTCAACGCTGTTTGTCTGCACTAACGGGGATTAACTAGTGACTAAATAACAGGAAGAGGGCCTTGCGCTGTTAAAACACTGTGGTGTGTTTGATGCAAGATCAACGACTCAACACACAATGCTGTGAAGGTGAAAGTATGGCGGTGTTTGATTAACGCTTATTATGGTTTCAGTAAATGTTCATTTAGTGTATTGCAAGACTTTCTCACATCGTACGTTTGGATTTCCATCACTGCCTTAAAGTCATCGCTCTTCCATAGATAACCAAATATGCTGTGCATAAGAGGTCTACTGATAGAGGTTCTTATCATAAGAGAAGTCAATAACTTAAGCAACGATGTCATTGGTCGTTATTTTTACACTCCAACTAAAGCTGCTTTCCTGAGATCAAGGCCACCGTAAGAACATTCCTCATGCAGACTTAAAATGTTGTGATGTAATAAAAGAAGATGGTTATAATTTCACCTTTTTTATACATGATCTGGTGTCATTGACTGCAGATAATAAGCACAATATGGGACTTGAACAAGTACATTGATTGGCTCAATGTACTTGTTGCCGAGCAGAGTATTTGTTTTTCAGGCGAGACAGCATTCCTTGTTTACAGAAAGCTGTGCATGACAGAAGAGTAATAAAAGAGGGAAGACAGAAGGTGCATTTCTATCTCATTCTTATATTATGGCAGCATTTAGAAAACCCAGATGTCGTCAACGTGTGCGATTTCTAGTTCTTATAAAGGACGAACATTGACAAATCAAATGGAGATGGATCGGAAATAACGAGGGTTAAAATCCATCTTGCTTAACAACGTTAGCGCAGGAATAACGTTGTTAACGTGACTCGGAGACCACAGGCTCCGGTCAGTGAACCTCAACTCAGCCACAGCAACAAAACAACAACCTTCTTTCAGGAAACAAGTAGGTCAACTAAACAGGTCAATTAAGCCCTGATGTCAGTCTGATGTGAGAGTGAGGCATTGGAGTTGTTTGTAATGACTTTGTCTAACACTCCCTTGTCTGTCTCCCATAGTGAATTGGCGCGTGAGCAAAGAGACGATGGTACGCTAAAGGAGCTTTTTCAGTCTGTTCTGCGGGTGGATGAGGTGAAAGATCGGGCACATGGTTACTTTGTACAAAATGAGGTGCTTGTTCGGAAGGGGGTGCCACATTGTGAGAGCTTTGTGGGAGATCCTGTGTATCAGATTGTCGTTCCCTCCAAATTTCGTGATTTGGTCTTGCGTGTTGCTCATGATGAGTCGGGGCACATGGGGGTTGGTAAGACGTATGATCGGGTCCTTAGACATTTTTTTTGGCCGCGGATGAAGAAAAGTGTTGCAAACTACATCAAAACATGCCACACTTGTCAATTAACTGGTAAGCCAAATCAGAAAGTGAAAGTTGCTCCCCTGTATCCGATTCCTGTTGTAGACCAGCCATTTGAGCACCTGATTATTGATTGTGTAGGCCCTCTTCCTCGTTCAAGGTCGGGTGCGATGTATTTGCTAACTGTTATGTGCAGCAGCACCAGATACCCAGCAGCATATCCGTTACGCACGCTAACAGCAAAATCAGTGGTGCGTGCTCTGGGCCAGTTCATATCCATCTTCGGCATTCCTAGAACCATTCAGAGGGATCAAGGGTCAAATTTCTCCTCTCACTTATTCGCACAGGTATTGAAACTGTTTCATGTGCAGCACAATCAGTCTTCTGCGTACCATGCGCAAAGCCAAGGAGCGCTGGAACGTGTCCACCAAACTGTAAAATCAATGTTGAAGGCATATCATACCCGGGTATCTCAGGAATTGAGTGCACGGGCAGATGATCCTCAGTCAGTGTGTTGGTAACACAGTTTTGTCTCGCAGTGAAGCTGCTTGTGGGGATGATGTACCAAATCATGACTGCATTGTTAACTGGTCGGCGTAAGAACTCTGAGGTACTTTCGGATTTAAACAGGGTATTGTCTCATTTGTCCAGAGCCCCATGTCAGTGATTGTTCTCTAGTTCTTCATTGTGGTGTCTCTCACTCTTAAATCGCTTCCAGGTACCAGTTGCAGAGATGAGTGTGAAGCTACAGGATGAAGGCGAAAGGAGCAAGTACTGTTCGGGGGACTTTGTATTTGGTCTAGTGACAGTTAGGTGTAAATATAATTTTAAGGAATAACTTAAGGCCGTGACAATAAAAAAAAAAAAAGAAAAAAAAAAAAAAAGTTTAAATGTTATAACGTTATAGTGGTTGTTGGTCAGGGTTCCGGTGGGGACCCTGTCTTTATGGGCGGGGGTGTGACGGCCCCAGGGCCACTGCCAGGGTATATGTGGGTGTGTCTCTGTCTGTGTGGGTGTGTGTGTTACAGGGTGAACTTCCTGGTGGAGTGGAGGCCATCAGGCAGATCAGACGCAGCTGGCCACTGTCCCGAGTGCATTAAAACCTGCCCCTTTCGGAGTGTTTGGGCGACTTCTGGCTTTCTCCGGTTCCCCAGCGCAATGGTGGTTTCGGTGGTCGAATGGGTTAAATTGGAGAAATAAAACTGTTGGCTGACAAATCCCTGTAGCGTGGTTTCTCGTATTTGTTGTGGCCTTGGAGCCGGATCATAACAGCACTTAATGGTTTAGGGTCATTGTTGTCTACTTTCATCAAGATCATGAGTTTAAAAATACTAAATTTAGTTGAATGTTTAAGTGTCATTTTTAAGTAGAATATTTAGTATATATATATATATATATATATATATATATATATATATTAGTATAATATTTCTCCAAAACGATGCCTTTGTCTCGTATGCCTTTAAGAATAACCATGACTTATTATATTAATATAATACAGCGTCTGTGTGTTCATTGATCCTAAAACAGTGTACAGACCTGCTACAGAAAGGTTGGCAACAGCATGACCGGCTATCCAAGCTGGACCAAGACACCGGTCCAAACCAGACCGTTGAAGATCAACCCTTTCAGACACCACTGACTACACGCCAACAAAGTCATTTCATTGCAGCTGGAGAAATTTTGAAAACAATTTGAATAGAAGTGGGATTTACGTCCGATATTCTAGGCATGTCTTCACAAGTTAGACTCCAGTGTTTGCTAATAGAAATTATTGAAAGGATTAATCTCAAAAGCAATTAACATTTTGGTGCTTCACCTTGAAATTTCACGAGGCACTGATAGCAGGTGAAACAGATGGCCGTGAAGGAGCAAATGAGGAGACAACCTTAAAACTATTAATGAATAAATCAACATTTGTGCCCTCCATCTGCCGCTGTGCCACTCCACCCGCTGTGGAACATAAAAGGCGGCGTTTCAGGAGGAACTCAAGTCCCAGCATGTTGAGTGACCTCTAGAGGGGAAACAAAACATGGAACGCCTCTCCGCCAAGAAAAACAGTGTTTCTTAGGAACCGAATCATTGAGAACATGTTTCCATCGTGCAATTTTATTCCTCATCCTCCAAGGACAGCTGGTGTCAAAATAGAGTGCTCTCTTTATAAGCCATTAATCTACTCTTCGTCACACAGTATATCACATGTGCCATCTTTAAATAACATACTGTGCGTTAAAGCAGTTTTGCGATATCGAATAGGTATTTAGTTTATTGACTAAAAATATTGTTTCTCCACAGTTCTAGTCCAAAAAATATGTAAATAAAAAAAACACAAGATAAGTACCTATTTTGTCATTTATATTGAAGCAACACATGTTCTTCAGGCTGTGTAGCTGGTCAAAGGGCTGCACAATTTCGTCAACCTCCTTCTTCTCTTTTAACAACTAAATTAAATCTGCTGAAATCTGAACGCCGCCCACCTCGCAGGTTAAAAGGATGTTACATTTCAAGCCCTCCCACTTGCAGCTGCTATATTTATTTACGGATATCACGTTTGTCTTCAATCATAAATGAGGTTCTGTTTCTACTGGGTTGCTCGTGGAAATCCCCCCCCCCCCCCCTCCTTCCCTGTGTTAGGACAACCCCATCATGCCCCTTAGAGATAAAAAGGATTCCTTAAATATGAATGTGTGACCACAGAGCAGAGGGCCCACATGGCTGATTGATGAGTATTTCAGGGACTCAACGCGAGACCCTGTTGCGGCCACAGACGGCACCCCTCCCGTGTGTCCAGACCTTTTAGGTTCGGATAGTTTTGCGGAAAAGAATCCGGGTGGGTGGTGGGCCGGTGTCGCTGCCATCGGTCAGCATGCATGCAGGGCGCACTAAAAGTGGGCAGCAGTGAAGAGCACATCCTCCCTCCCTCCCTTCTTCCCTCCCCAGGGCTTCTGCAGCATGCCACGTGTCTGTTAGATACCTTTCCATGCTGCCCTCTCCAGCTGTGCACCAGCAGTGTCAGGGTGGAAAAAAGAGAGTATCTGAGTGAATTTAAAATACGGCCTACGAGAGAATGAGAAGAATCCCTTTAAAGCTAAAATTCAATATTTATGAAAAAGAAAACAGGCTTTTCTGGATGTAATATGTAAAGAATCAGTCTTTTAATTTCCTTTCTTATTTTTGTATTCTGCATGATGGAAACACTCAAAATGTGTGAAAAGTGTAAAAAAAAACCTAACCCAAAAATGACCCCTATGAGGTAACCTTTAGACTGAAATAATAAGACATGCATAGATCAGACATATCTTTTAATCTAAAGATAAATATCTTTATCTAACAGAATGGCATGTGACAAAATATGCATTTCCTTACTTTCAGGCATGATGTGATGCATGGCCACCGACAGAAAGAAGATGGCGTCGCTGTAGTAAGCCCCAGAGCCAGCGCTGAAGTGCTTCTGCATGGCCTCTACGATGGGGAAGAGCTTCTGAGTGAGAGCCACCACGTCATGAAACAACACCTGTGGACCCGCACAGTGGAATCACGTTAGTACAACAGAGTCCCATAAGCAGTAGCGCCTTGAATATACTACAAATACTTTGCTGCACATGCTACACATCCCCGTATAGGAAAATCTTCTGATAGCACTTCTAATAAAACCAACCGTCTCTGATTATCTTTTAAGGGTTCTGCAGGAGGAAAAATGTGTGCTGGTTTGGAACAAATTGTATTTCCAGAGAAATGTGTGTATGTTAGAGGCCTCCAATAAAAGATGGACAATGTAGCTGCCATAAATCAGGCTCAAGTGCCTCGATGGGTCATCAGTGTTTCCCCTCTGTGGGGGAGGGGGAGTAGTCGGTCCGCTGGTGCCACATGCGCACATTCAAGTCAGTGCGAAACTGCCGTGCGTGGGAAAGAAAAAAAATGTATATTTCCTTTTTAATTCCAGATTATTCCAGAGAATTCCGGGGGAGGGGGGTTATTTGATATTAAATCATTCTCACACATTCAGACTGCAAAGGAGACATTATATGAAATTAACTAAACGAGTTGCACCACAGAACCAATATCAGAATCCATGTTTGCTGTTAAATAGAAAAGTATGAATTTGGACACATTACTAGGTTATGCATAATATGTTATAAACTATGCAGAAAAACAACAACTTCTCAGTGTTTTCCATACGAGAAAGGACTAATTTACAAAAGGCACACAAATGAAGTGTGTTGTGTGACTGATGGTCAGCAGTAATGAGCACAGCCTCCGGGGCAGTGGGACTGAGGACTGACGGCCCATTGAATTCACCAGAGAAGTGGTGGGGCTAAAATGCTTGCGTAACTGATGCCGCCGCCCCCCCGTGCTCCTTTTTAGATATAATGAATAATAAAAAGAAACAAAGGTAAGTTAAGCAGACGGGAATGTCAACGTGCTACACGCACTGCCTCAGTCGGCCCCTGGGGGGCGACCAGGCTGCGACTTCAGTGTGCGACCGTTTTGTGTGCACTCCAATAGAGGCAGAGGCTCTTTATGGTGGTGCTTGTGTCGGGGGAAATGACGTCATGAGTCATCATCTCAAACCAAGATGTTAAAAGGCACTGGTCCGGAAGGACACCGTGACAGTTATAATACCACTGGGGGTACATCTTAATGTTACGTATAACAGAGAATGTACTTTTTTTTCTAAATTGTTTTACAAAAGCCCAAAATGTGTTATAAAAACGTGTTTACCCAGGTCACAATGTGCGAACGGGAGCCCGATGGACACATGGCCTTCAATATTTGTGTGTGAGTCATAGCTGATCACAGATATAGTAGCCTCAGTTTGCATGGTGGACCAACTTCGGGGAGAGGACAGTATAGGGACGAGAGAGAGAGAGAGAGAGAGAGAGAGAGAGAGAGAGAGAGAGGTCCAAACCAGGAAGTCGTTTTTTGGTTAACAGCTGCTCAACAAATATCACGGTCACAATGCTTGAAGAAAACTAATTTAAAAGAACTAATACAATAATGGACAATGGACAATAATGATTTGATGGATAGTCTGGGGATATACGACGACCAAAGTACATACTGGTTGCAAAATTTTACAGTTTAAATAATATGTACACCAATAAAACACTTGTGATATGCTACAGAGCACACACACTACCAGAAACAAGTTTAGTAACACCATAGGCTGCGCCTAGTCGGTAAACATCCGACAACATCACATCACACTCAGAACAGAACACATTTAAGAGTACAGAGAGTGAGATAAACAGGAAGCAATGTGACCCACAGGCTCTAAACTGCCAATATGCCAAGCTGAGCAAACGTCCGACCGACCCACGCGGCTTTGGGATCAGCATGAGCCGACACACAGCTGTAACAACACCAGATGTGGTAGACGAAGGAGAAATTCCTGAGACAAAATGCATAGAGGACTAAACAACCAACGCTGCATGCAACTGAGAGGGCCACTTTTTAGGACGAAGCTGCAGGGCATCCCCCCCAGAGAGGGATTTGTATGATGGGCCAACACTGCCGCCATGTGTTTGAACTTTAAATTGCACATCCAGATCATTTGTGTGGGTAACTGGGTATAAGCCTCCTGTGTGTCCAAATGGTTTAGGCAGAGGTTTACTTGTGGACGTTCTTTTGCATCGGACTATCAAAGTATATCAGTGTTGAGCTAAGGAAAGAAACTCAATGGATCTCCAGTCACTTCAATTAACATCAAGAACAACTTTACTGGAAATAGAAATCCTCATTAGACCAAACATCGTAGGGGTTTCTCCTCATTCCATTGAATTCAACACACGACACCGGCACGGTGTAGTGCAAACACGTTTACAGACCGCCTACCTCATACTTGAACGTCGCGTCGAGGAGGAACTCCTCCAGCATCCTCTCCCCCAGTTCTCTGCTGGTCTGGTCGCACACAAAGTGAAGGACCAGCACCTCTCCTTGGAAGAAATGTCCGTGCTTAACCATAGACAACATAGCCACCCGGAACTTGTCCTGCAGGCTCCTGCTCTTGTCCACCTTGGTGAACATCATGAGCGCGTGGTAGCGTTGGTCACCGGCGTCCATTATCCTGGACCTCGATCCCTCGCCGCCTCCTCCTACTTCGACTCGGTCCTCCTCGCTTGGCTCCTCCACTCCGGCCGGGTGGGAGAGCCTGGTGTCGGCGGTCAGGTCAGCGTCATTTCTGTTGCCGTTGTGGCTGGCCTGGGTCTGCTTGATCCTCTTGGTGGTACTGGAGAAGTTCTGCCTCTCTGAGCCGAAGTAGTAGAAAGCTACGACAGCAAGCGCAGCGGCCAAGAGAAGCACGAACTGATAGGACCTGAAGGTACTGATCCTACCCATGATTCTGGAGACCAGCCTGAGGATGCCCATTGCTCCTTGTGGTTGTCATGAGAACGGGAGCGTACATGGGAATACTTTCACCATCTTGGGTATTTTCAGTTCATAGTTTTGGGGAGAGAGGGGGGTAGTTACTAACATTTCCCTGTGAGAGAAAGAATACTTGTTTTATTTTAGTCTTAGGGGTTTATTTTAGAGATGGGTTAGTCAGTCATACAGGTTTTAAACGGGTGCACTGGGTTCAATAACGTTATCTTTATATTTAGCTGGTACGTTTTTATTTGCGTTTAAGTTGTTGCCATGCACAAAAGATATAATTCAGCCAAACACAGAGCAGGAGACGGAATGAAACCCACTTGCCTGTCTCACGTCGTTAATGTGTGCGATTCCATCTTGCAGCTTGTTCGCCGTGTCACTGGATGCTTAACGTTCCGTGCACGTATCGATGCTACTCCATTGCTAATGTGACCCCGAAATGCAACGACTAGCTACGTAAACGTTCACGGACTGTCCAATCATAATAAAAAATACGTGCAGTAACAAACACTGCAGCAAACTATTGGCGTGTCAACTGTTAGCGAGGATGCTAATTGAGAAAGCGACGACTTTGCGCATGACGTTATTACGTTGTACGGTTAGCGTTGAGTTGCCCTCCGAAGCTGTTGGTTAAACCCGAGCACGTAGCCACACGCTGCTTGAACACGTTGTTAATATATCTTTGCATGCATTTGCCGTTCTTTCAATAGCTACGGCGTTGGCGTTGGTCTGTGATTTTGATGAGAAAAAGGGCACTACGTCTGAAAAAAATCTAAAAGCTCGAAGCTAGCAGCCCAGCAACAAAATGCTGTCACACAACTTTAGCCGCACCCACTTTGGCTTCAGCCGCATTCAGAACCACGCCGCCTTTAAGTGTAGTCGGAAACATTAGACTTTGCACACCAAAGACATTTCATTTTAATTAATTGATGCCATTATTTTTTGTAACAGTAAATTCATGATTTTCTAAAATTAAAAAATATATATACATCAACGTCAACTACCAGTTAGGTAACTTTTACAGCAGAGATGATCAGAGGTGTCAAAAGTATTCACATTCATTACTCAATAGAAGTACAGATACTAGGGTATAAAAAGACTCCTGTAGAGGTTTAAGTACCAACTCAAGCTTTTTAAGTAAAAGTATAAAAGTACTGGTTTCAAAACTACTTAAAGTATAAAAGTAAAAGTAATGTAAGAAATTCCATTAAGCACAAACTCTTAACAGCACCCCTGTTTATAATGATGGGAAACACTGAACTGGCAGCGGTCGGTTATCAAAACATTGGCCAAATAACCAGTATTTTCAGGCTTTATGAGAAAAATACAGAATCCCTTTGTGTTCATTTCCAAAGCCGCATTAAGACACACATCACTTTATTTAATACGCTGCTTGCAGGTCGCTGTGTTGAGCCAGACTCTCAATAAAACAGTTAGGACAAACCCACGGTCATAAAGATACTCATCTGACGTTACATGGAATCTGCGTGAGAAAGAGGAGGAGGAAGAGGAGGCTCCATGATAAATTCCAACTTTTCACCGACCGCTTTTCCCACCCGGTGTCGCTCCGATCTGCCGGCGCATCGCGGAGAAAACCAATCGGGTGTCTGGATGCTCAATGTTTATACTTCTCATCCAACCACAATCACATTCACTGTCCGCATAGCGCCATTTATCTGGGTAGTTTTTTTTTTGGTGTTTTGTTGAACGACAAGTAACGAGACTGTTTTTAAAATGTAAGGAGTAGAAAGTACAGATATTTGCGTAAAAATGTAAGGAGTAGAAGTAAAAAGTCGTCTGAAAAAGAAATACTCCAGTAATACCCAAAATGTCTACTTAAGTACAGTAACGAAGTATTTGTACTTCGTTACTTGACACCTCTGGAGATGATACTAAAATAGGTTTTACGTGATAGTTAAAATAAAATAAAACAACTATCCTAAATGTATTCTACACAACGTGCACGTATTATTTTACCTTTTTTCTGGAGCTTTATGTAATTATACTTTATCTAGATATTTGGTCAAGTACTGTAGACCTATGTAAAGTTTTGTAGAAGTACCTCAGTCTTTTCATTTCGGGACATCTCACTTACTGCATTTCAGCACGGGATATTTTACTTTTTACTCCACTTATTTAACAGCAATATCCCTTAGTTACTTTCTAGATTAAGATTAAGGTCATTATTTTAGTAGTATAATTTGTGTAGACACAGCGATAGCAGTATATTTATCTGTCATTAAGTAAAAAGGCATTACATTAAATACTACGCCATTTATAATTAAGGGGTATTACAGGTTAGACAATTTGTCAGCCTGAGATATATGTATATTTTTGAAATAATTATGGAATGTTTTTCAATTTCACAAATATTGATCTCAGTAGCCTCCTAAAACCCGTAGAGGTCAGATAAGATATAAGAGTAGGGCCTTCTGTATTCTCAACAATTCGCGTTTGCTAGGGCAAAACTCATTAGTACGAGCTTTTATACGACACGTGAAAGCGTCCTGGGAAAACATCGTTGCTTTGCGACATTTCACCAGCAGCATTGTTGATCTCGGCTGACGGTCGATGTCGATTTGTCACAAGCAAACAATAACCATCTTTCATCCACAGGAATAATGCAAGCTTTTGTATTTTCCTAGTGGTGTTTCTCGTAATTATTACCTCGCTCATATTTTTTTGTTTTGAATTCAGACTCGTTGCTAGCAGAAGGCTAGGTAGCTTGATTAGGCTAAGCGAAAATGAATTCTAGCACGCACGTCATTCAAGTGACTAATGTCTCCCCGAGCACAACGTCTGAACAAATGAGGACTCTGTTTGGATTCCTCGGAAACATAGAGGAGCTGAAACTGTTTCCACCTGAGTGAGTATTATGAGCTGTAAAACCTTGTCTCATCTAGCGCTGCTAGCTCGGGCTTCTCCTGAGGCCTGTAATGCCGAGTAGGCCTCGCCGCACGGCATGCTAATGCTAACGTTTCCCCGCTTCTCACTGAGCGCAGCAGCAGTCACTGCTTAAGAGTGTGTTTTTATGTGATGGATTTAGCCAATTAAGTTACATTTCTTCCACAAATGCCTGGATATAACTAAAGAAAAAAGTACACACAGCAACCGTGGTCATTGTTGATTAACGTTATGTTAGCCGGTTATAAAGCCAACATAGTAGCACTTCAACCTAAGGATATTCATATTTTGGATTCATCTTTTAGCCCCTAATTAAAGTTTCAATTTTCTAAATGCCACTAGAAGTAGCCTAGCTATGTCAAGTTTAAATGGTATGGAAACCAAATGCATTTATTTTGTAAAGACACAACACAAATACGGCCGTAAATCCTCATTATTGTGTAACTGAAAACGGCGTACGGACATTTTTGTATCGTAATATCATTATGACAATAATCCTAATCATTCTAATCTAGACACTGCCTTGTTCAAGCCTCTTTCTCTGCTTTACATGGAAATTAAGTAATTTGTGCGTTTTCTTTTTTGAATGTGGCATTTTATAGATTGAACAAATCTGAAAGTGGTGTTGGATAAACACACATTTAAAATTTACATTCGTTCCAATCCTAGATGCTGCAGCAGGTTCTTATGTGGGAAATGCTGGTTTAAACAAAATGGAATAACGCACAACTCAATGTCGATATGGTTTCATCAGCGACTTCGTGTGGGCAATCCCATAGGTTCACTCCACCTACTTGGGATGAGCTACTTCAATCAGTATTTTTATATTTATTTAGTTGGAAATAATTTTTCTCTGCTTTTGTATCTTCCTCAATTGAAATACACCTGACTTCTCAGCAGGTAGGACATGACGAGGACTGTAACAACAACAACAACAACAAAGTGTCGATGAGCAATGTTCTTATAACAACATAAAAACGTATCTCTAAGATATGTTGTTGGTCTGAGCAGAAGATGCGGTGGTCATAGCATAGGTCAGATTCTGCAGCTTGTACTCTTATTACTTATGTGTGATATGTTGCATTGTCAGTCGCTGTTTGTAAACAAACATGACGGAGAAGAAGAAATGCACAGTTGAAACACTGAATTAGATTCAAAATCACAGCAGCGTAACAACCCGTTGGTCGTCAAATACCGCGGCTTTGTACCATATCGAAGATAAAGGGTGCGTGTGTAGCGCCTTGGTATCAGACGCAAAGGGGCGTGACTTTATTAAATGACCCGGGAATAACAGCGACAAGTTAGTTGTCCCAGGGGACAAAAAAAAACGATCGTTCAGGTCAGTTTGAAGATGGCATGTTGCGTCTCCTTGTTTGTATTCTTTGCACAACATTTCTGTGTTTTCTTCCAGTGACTCTCCCTTGCCTGTGACTTCACGTGTCTGTTTTGTAAAGTTCCTTGAGTCTGAGTCGGTGGGAGTTTCCCAACACCTGACGAACACCGTCTTCGTGGACCGAGCCTTGATTGTGGTCCCTTTTGCTGAAGGTGGGTGTTTGTTCTTCTTGTCTCACTCTCGTGGCTGTCTCTGAACGTGCATCACAATGTGTTGGTTGTTTGATAGAATTGCGAGCACTATCTGAGCCATGGTGAGTTTTTTGTGACCAAGCAAAATTCTCTTAAGCTTTTCAGTGGTTGGCATTTTTATGTTTATAAAGGGGAAATGCCAATTGTGCCCATGTCTGACAATTGAGCTGTAAACTTCTCTCTCTGTTATTTGTGTTGTGGTTTTCATAGTGGACAAGTCATTTGCAGAGAGCCCCTTCCCTGATGGCTGAAAGTGGTCCTCTGCTGCCATCAGGAGATTAGAAAAAATAATGGCACCAGGCTTGCAAGCCCCCTTCTCCCTGTCTCTGTCTGTCTGTCTCTCTCTCTCTCTCTCTCTCTCGTGGTCTGCAGTAAAATATTAACTCTTATTTTTCTCTGTTCAAGGCATCTTTTTAAACAAAAATAGCCACACAACTCTACAACAAAATAGGGGTATGGACCTAAAGCTTGAACCATTTCAGATCCTCTATTTATATTGGAACCGTAAGCACCTTCATTTTACATGGCACATGATTTTGTTGCCACAAGAGATCCATGCGGACACATTTGTCCTTTTTGATATTTAATGCTACGGAGGGAGACATCAATCAAGTCCAAGTCGAGTCTTGCAGTTATCGGGTAGTGTAACCAGCCAAATAAGGGAAGGTAACCATGGCCCCATTAGGCTATTGGGGTGCATTACAAAGAAATATATAAATACTGGATCTCCATGTGGTATTAACAGAATGCTGATATTTAATGGCTCCAATCTGGGTAAGATGTTGCAGACATCCCTACACCTGCAAGCATGCAGGATACATGCTGTGCATGCTGGGATAGATTTTCAAGGTGTGTGCCATTGTCTACACTGTTTTTTTTTAAAGCAGCTGTGAATTAGCATATAATTTGGTTAGAACCAAGAGAAGCACAGAAACCGCCGTTGCTCCTTGTGCCAAAGCCTTGTATTATTTAGCACCTGTATTTCCAAATTTTCACTAACACGCAATAGATGAAAGTAGTTTTAAGTCTGTGCTCGATGGTACAGTAAAAAGAAAAGCTTTATATTGACCTTCTCAACACGTGACTCCTTCAGAGTTGAATGAATCACACGTTTAACAGTGGTGTTTCTTTTGTTGTTGTGTTTTACAGTTCTTTTTCCTGGTTCAGCCAGCCCTATATACCAGGCCCTGCTGAAAATGCCACCAACAGTTTTGTCTTCTGAAGCCTTATCCTGTTTCTCAAGTGTCCTTTCTGTGTGTGTGTGTGTGTGTGTGTGTGTCTGTGCGTGTGTGCGCGCGTGCGTGAGTGTATGATATCTCCCTTTGTCTCTCTCCCCTTTTTTAAAATGTAAAATGTCAGATAAAAAACTAGCCTGTTTTCAGATTGCACCATGGATGATCATCTCCATAAGATTTCCCTTTTTGAATTTACTGTTTTGTTTTCTTCAGCTTTGGGCAAATTTGTCATGATTTTATCACAGCTTTTGCTGGTAAGAGCCCATAACTGTTTAGTGCAGTTTCTTTGACATTGTTTAGTGTTTTAATGACGTGCTGTTGGCCAAAAGCTAGCAGTACTGTAGCTTGTTAGCAGTACTTAATTTGGTTGGCAAGTGTTTATTTCTTTTCTTTTTTTGTGATGGGATTGTACAAAGTTACCTTCGACAAAAGCCCAGAAAAGGTAATATGTCTGAACCTTTTCTGTTTTTGTATTGGTAATGGTAAGTCATGTTGAAATGTACCCTTGTCTACACCCAAATCATGAACTTTGTTTTCTGTATCTCAATGTTTTTGTGTGCTTTATAGCGAAGCAGCCGGCACGAGTCGCTTGTTCATAAAACATCTAATGAAAGTTGAGAGCACATCCCACGGGACAACTGGCTGTGCTTGCTTACGTTTGGTTCATGACTTAAAAAACAAGTACAGGTGAAACAATCTTGGCAGTGTTGACCAGTGTGTTTTGTGACTTATAAATTCATAGCTGCTAATCATACAATCATTCTTTCAAAAAAAAGAAAAAAAAATCTGGGATCAAGATTTACAGACAAGACAAAGTGCATTCTTTTTTTTAAAACTTCTAATGTATTCATTGTTTTAATACAGAGTAGTTAGACAGAGGTGGCTTGTCTGCAAGTCTTGTTTGAGTGTTCCATCATTGTTTGCTTGGAGCAGGCGCTGAAATGTTGTTTTTATCTCCAGGAGTCATTCCTGATGAATCTAAAGCTATGTCGCTGCTGGCTCCAGCCAACGCCGTGGCAGGAATGATGCCCGGGGGCGGCCTTCTTCCAACACCCAATCCTCTGGCAACCGTGAGTTATCTTCATGATCCTTTTGGGTCTCTCTCGAGTCGTCCTCCCAGCCATCCGACAGACAAATCAAGCTTCTGTTCCTGGCAATCCCAAAACTTTGAACGCTGTCAGGACTGAAAAAAAGATCACAATAACAGTTTTTATCAAAACACTCTGCTGATAATCAAGACACGATGGCGTGTTGCTTCTGCTGGATGCTCGATAAAACGTTTGGTGACGAGTGCTGTGCAGTCCGCTCTGTTGTTAAAGAGTCTGCTTGTATCTCAGATGGGAGCGACGCCTTTCGGAGGTCTTGGAGCTTCCAACATGGAGCAAATGGCTGCCATGGGAATGCAAGGCGCCAACATGAACCCCCAGGTGAGTGCTCGGTCAGTCACGTACGTGGTCGCACCCATAAACAAAATGTCTCATGGTCATTTCCTTTTCAGGCCATTTCTGCAGACTTCCTGAAGCTCATGCAGTCCATGGACCCCAAGTAAGACGCTGTCCACGCTCTCATTAGGGGGGTCCAATCCACTGAGGCGAGATAGTTCTGTGGCTGAAAAACAATACTAAACAATTGATGGCCCTTGCAGACTTAATCCACTAGCGGCCGGACTGAACTTGAATGCCGGGCTGAAGAACGATGGCTCCAATAAGGAGATTGAAGAGGCCATGAGGAGAGTTCGAGAGGCCCAGTCGCTCATCTCTGCAGCCATTGAACCTGGAAGTGAGTGCTTCGTTTCCTCGTGTCCCCTTTGCAGAAAAGGCGACTTGTTTTCATGTAGCAGTTTGTGTATGAAAAGGCTAATGTTCCAAGTGAACTACACCGGGTGCTGGTATTGTACCGGGCACATACTCAACGCTCAACCTCGTTTCGCAGATAAAAAAGATGACAAGCGCAAACATACCCGCTCCCGCTCACGGTCCAGGCGCCGGCGGACCAGATCCCGCTCGAGACACCGGTAAGGCCAGCGGCATGACCATCTGTAAACCAAATGGCAAAAAGGAGATGGCGGCAACATTTTTGTGACCCTTCGTTTTGGCAGACGTTCGAAGAGCCGGTCCCGGCGGAGGACCCATTCAAGGAGCAGGAGGAGGTCTAAGAGTCCACGGAGGAGGAGGTCTCACTCCCGGGACAGAACCCGCCGCAGTAGATCCAGGTCCGCGCCTTCATGGTTGTCGCTGCCTTGTAGATTGTGTTACGTACCGCTGCAGGCGGCTGTTGAAGTTCTCCATTTTCATTTTGAAACCTGGCACTTTCTTACGCCATACTAGGTGACCATTTAACTTGGAGAGCTGCCAGTACATCTAGTTGTAGTTTTAAGTTTTGCTGCTGTTCGCTAATGTTGTCAACTTTGATCAGGGACCGGAGGAAGGAGGAGAAGTCTAAGAAACGGTCGAAGACGCCCCCGAAGAGCTACAGCAGTGCCAGGAGGTCTCGAAGCATCACTCGGTGAGCGGTCTGAGCCCCGTGGTCAAGCGAAGGCCAGTCAAAACGAGTGTAGTTCCTTTCATCAGTATCACATTTTTATTTATTTGATGACCTTTTGCGTCTCAGGAGGCACAAGCGAAGCCGCAGTGCATCTCGGTCCCCCAAGAGGAGGTTGTCCAGGTCTCCATCGCTCCGACGGTGAGATGTCAAACAGCGTTTTACCTGAAACGTTTAGTTAATTTAGTCGAATCCCGATCAACCACTAATATCCTTGTCCTGTTCAGTCACAAGAAAGAGAAGAAGAAGGACAGGGAGCGGGAGAAGGAACGGGACAGAGACCGCAGGGAGGTCCGAGCTCGGAGCAGAGACGAAAGAGAACGCTCGGCCAGTAAGAAAAAGAAGAGCAAAGACAAGGAGCGAGACCGGGATCGCAAGTCCGATAGCGAGAAAGGAGATGTGAAGGTACAAGAAGCATCTAAACATCCCAGATGATGGCGCTTTTTTTGAAAAACCTACTTGTAGAACTGTCGTGACCTTTCCTGTTCCTCTCTTATCAAACAGTAGAAATGCTCCAAAGAGTAATGTTTACAAACATTGTCCGTACAGGTGACCCGGGATTATGATGAAGAGGAGCAAGGTTATGACAGTGAGAAGGAAGTAGAGGAGGAGGAGGATGACGACGAGAGGAAGAGCGACTCCGACTCCGCCTCGTCCCCCAAAGGCCAGGACGAGAGATCCGAGGGCCGGATCCCCAAAAAGTCCAAGTTGAACGGCGATGACCACCATCAGGAAGACATGGAGATGAGTGACTAACAACCAGGCAGCGTTATCTTTCCACTTTTATATTTTTAATACGGGCCACGACTCGTCTGTGCAGCGCCGGAGAACGAGGGGGTTTAGAAAGAAAGCCGTCAAGTCATTTTGTAAAGACGAAGACTAGAATATGAACACGACGGCGTTTTAAATAGTTAATGTACTTTTTTAAGATCCTGTTGATTTTTTTTGTTTTTGTAGTCTACTGTCAGGAAGACAAAGTTCAAAGTATTTCCCACTAAAGTGTCTGTAAATATTTTACTTGTTTTGGTCCTTTTTTTCTTCCTGTGACTGTTCGGTCTCTTGGCACCAACTTCACGGTCCTTTTTTGTTGCCAAATGATTTTGGTTTAACTGTAATGCACGCAGTCCTGTTTCAGATGCCCTTACTATTTACAGCCCATGGTAAGTGTACACTGTAGATTACAATGTGTTGTTGCAGTGAAATACGATTTTGGTTTTCCAAAGGAAACTAATAAAATTGGGTCAAACTGTTGATTGTTTTTTGTTTTTTTTAATGATGGAAAATATCAAAGCAAAAGAACTGTTTTCTGTAACCTGATCTTCACCCGTTAAACGCTCACAGCTTTAAACAACAAAATAAAATGTTAGCTGAAACTAGGGGTCTATGATCATTTGTCAGCACAAGATTATGACTATTCTCATCAACCGCTGCAGCATCAATAACAGCCAATGATGTGACATTTCATACTATGAGATTTATTTATTCATCTTTAGGATATACTACACTACCCAGGATTCAGTACTATGACATTTCAAGACCAACGGTACGGATATTCTATACTATTGTTAGTTTGATTTAGTTGTACAGACTGGACTTAACCTACTTTACAATTAATATTTTTGAATTTTCATAAATGGCGCAGACTTTTTGAAGTTGTCCTTTTAACTTAAATACTGTAACATTGTTTTTAATAGATTGTAAATGCTCGCTCATTCATTTCACGTCTTTAAGTACATTGTATGACATTGCATTCCTTTCTGATAGTTATGGCATGCCTTTATGACTTTTACATCCTATATACTATATGTATACTATACTTTTCTAGTGTTCATAGTTTCCTTTTTATACATTTTAAATTACTTTTCATGGCATGCGATTCTATATTTTTGTATAATGGCATATTTAAGATCAATTGTGTTTACATGCATCTCAATGTTCTATAATGCGTGAGACTAACAGTTTTTTGTAGGAATAACTTAAGTTGTTCATCTCTTCAGCATTTAAAGATATAAATACTGGTAGTGAAACACAAGTCCAAACCTTTTGAAATATGTGGAATTTAATGTTAGTACATTGTATATGAAAATAGTTCTGTAGACTTATACAACCGCCTTTGCTGTACAACATGTAATGATACATTTCCATCTGAAGACGTGGAAACTTGAAGCAGCTGAAAACAGGATGGAGCATGAAATGAAACGTATAGCAACTTGTCAGTAAGGAGGCACACTTCCTGTTTAGTTTGTTGCACTTGCCCTCATGAAATAACGTAACCCACGTATCAAATTAAGTGTCTGTTGAAACTGAATAAGGATTTTTTTTTAAAAGCGAAATGTTCCAACACCGAGCCATCACGTCATTCTAAACACCTGTAGGTCTCAACGTAGTTAAGGGTTCATGAACCACAGCGGCATCTATAAAACAATTACTTATCCGGCCAACATTTGGACTGTGTTTCCAAAGGAAGCTCGATGCTTTGTGCTATTCACTCAGAAGGTGACTGTTAATCACACACACGGTTCATTGGAATGTCGGAAGGGGAAAAAAAAAACGTCAGAAGAATTAAGAGATGTAATTTTTGTTCAAAACATTACAAGTATGTACAAAAATATCAACCAACTAAATTAAATTGTGATGCTATATTAAACCTTTTGTTGACACCATGAAATTAACAAAGAAAAAACAGAGACAAGTATTTACAAAGTGTGCAATGAAAAGCCTGGTTCTTCGTTCTCATTCATTCCTTAATACATACCCACTATACAATCCCCAGTTAACTCATGTTAGCATGGTTGTACATAGTTCAAAAGGTGTAGACACAATTACTTCCATGCCACTAAGAGAAGAGATGCAGCGTATCGAGAATTTCCTCAAGTGCAACTATAAGGATTCAAAATGAGATGTTTAAGAGTTCCTCTGAATGCAGAGTAGCTGTTGTCTTATTAGTGCCTAAAAGTTCAATGATACAATTCCATGCTTATTAAAAGCCTCATAATGAGCCATGTCATAAACAAACACAACTTAAGGAATTCTGCAAAAAGATTTTTTGTGTTTCAGCCGCGAAATGACGCTAATTCATTTGCCAAAACTGATTTTCAGCGTTGTGAATTTCAAATGGTGATACATCTTTGGGAAAGTTTCAAAATCTGATATCGTTAAAGAATTGAGTGTAAAAAAACAAGTGACTTTATTTTCTTACACACCTGACAGGCAGGTATTGGATTATAAACAAGTTTATGTCACGTTGAATTTTAAAAGTCTACTTTAGCAGGAAAACATACCTAAAAAGAATTCTTTTTTGGGGTGGAATTCCCCTCTTGTATCTCACACAGTGCTTTACTACTGGCCAGTCAAACATATTCCCTTTATAAACATTACTTACATACTTAAATACATAGCATCAACCGATTGTCTGTCATCTGCATATTCCCCCACATACGAAGAAGTCACCTGCCCCCCGTGGCCACTAACTTTCACTCTCAGGAGATTTCAACCTCTGTGCCCCAGTGGAGCGCCGTCCTGTTTGTGTTTAGGTTTGGGGATAGAAATCCATAAACGGTCACAGAACCATTACTTATTTTTCCTCCATTTTTTTCCTTTTGCAATTGTATGTTTTGCAGCATAAAGTTCCCTTTGTTGCAGGTTTTCATCTTCCAGTTTAAGAGGTTAAAGGTCAGGGAAGCGGCTGGGGTCTTCTTTATAGTCGTGGGGAATGGTAAAGATGGTCTGATCGAACTCATCGTAGCGAAACTCATGGAAGGTGACGGTGGCTGTGATGGTGGGAAACACGGGGATATCTGCAGGGAGACACGAGCACCGTTGTTCATTACGCTTCATCTGGTCACACCTGCCTGGGCTTGGATGTCTCTCCGTTCTTTACATGAATTAGGGAGAATAAAGAAATGGAAAATGCATCTCTAATGCATACTTTTGAATCGAATTACATCTGCTTACCCAATTTGACAGGGAAGCCAGGAGGGAGCTTCATCTGAACAAACTCCCTGAGCTTGTTAAAGTGCTTGAAGGGGGCAATTACCTCCAGAACGTTCAATAACCTGAGCAAAAGAAGAAATGGTTACAGACGGAACACTGCCAGCCAACAGTAAATGCAGTATTTGATTAGTTCTTAGATAGTGGCATCGTTTCATTTTTGTTTATTTCTATATTCAACTCGACATTATTCAATGAACTTCATTTGTTGCTTATATAAACAGAACTCCATCAACCATTTAAAGCTCACGGGACAGAACTGTAACACATGGCTGATTGAAGAAATAAACAACAACAACGTTTTTAGTAAACATGAAAGGAAAAACCATGTAATGGTTTGCACATATCATGATTTCTCTGAGACTCACGATTCGATGCCCAGAGGAAAGTCTTGACTCATGGCGATCGTGGCTTTGAAGTTTTTCTTGCTCTCTTTGCAGACCAGCTCTCTTCCTAAATGGGGGGCCCTGAGCGGAGAGAGAAGTTAGAACCTGTCAGAATACAATTTCAATAAAGAGCTTGCAGATGGTTAATATGAAGAAACCTCCCACGTGCATTTTATATTTGCCAAGATTAAAAATGGATGCATCTCATTCAATTGAACTAGAAGGTGTGTCCAAACGTTTGGACTGGTACTGTATTTACAGATGAATTGAAATGTACTCTGTCACAATAATATTGCGTGCAATTGCTAACAAAACGTGAATAACCTTAAATCTAACCTTGCATTCTTTTAGGGAGGGAAATAAAATAGTGATTCAATCCCAAATACAACATGTCGATTACTGCAACCTTATTATCCTGAAAGAAAAACTACCTTCCGTTATCAGCAGTAATGTATTCTTCCCAGGAAACAGTGTTGGGTGAAGGGGCAGTTAAAGATTGCCTCCTCGCCGGCTGAAGAGCAAAAGAAGAGAAAACCAAAACTAAATAAGTGACCAAAGTACTGCAGGATCAGACCCAAGGGAACATAAAACAGATTAAAATACACACACATCAGACAAACGTTAAGCTTTTCCACCGGTTGGTTTTTAATGATCTATTAATTAGTCAAGTATTCAGCGGCCAATTTATGCTGAGCAGCAAATCTGACCAAAGTCCCATGAGGACTTCAGTGAAGAAAGCGAAATCTCTAAAATATTATTTCAACTCCTTTTCTATTCCGCCAGTCTGCATCGACGTGTTCCCACACAGCACACTGGCCACTAGAGGGCGACTCGGCTTCACCAAACCCGCCAACCACGTTTGGCCTTTTTCCGCTGAACACAACGAGGGACTGAATTATGATAATTCGGTGCACCACTAAACAGCTGATATCTGAGACGTGAAGCCATTTCACAGAGTGCAGTCTAATCTAGTTTTGTGTAGCATACAAATATACAGAAGCTGTTAACAACAAGGCCAGGAAAGAAAAGCAACGAAGATGTCCTCTCAGGTCGGTCTCATTTACAGCAAAGATAATTATTTGCCGAGGTAGAAACTTGACAAATTAACAATAATAATTAATAAGTTTAATTTATTTAGTGCAGTAATAAGACATCTACAGGTTGGGGAAGCAAATAGAAAGACTAAAGAATGAGTGGTAAAAATAGTAAAACCATTGACAACAGACAGTACTCATTATATGATTGATCATGATAAACATTAGAGGGTGACAAGAAGAATCGAGTGGCCATTCCTCCTTATATCCAATAATTGAAGGAAAAAATGATTTAAACTCCGCCTTGGATCAGAATTTGGACGTTTTGCTCTTCGACACCCTGAATTAGAACTTCGGGCCGGTTCCTCATTAAATTGACTGCTGTAACCTCACTGTACTTTTGTGCGTGGTGAATAAGGGCAGAATAATGTGGGCTGTGCAGAGAGTCCGCCGTGTGCACACAGAAACACAAACCATATACATCGATATCTTAGTTCACCTTTGCTCTCACGTGCACAGCGATCATCACAGTGCTGCTCTCCCTGTGGGCCGCGGCCTCGCTACGCGCTCGCTCTCACCCTGCGTGTTCGCCCGCTGTGGCGTGTTGTTGTGACGGGGACAGATTGGACAGATTACACACACACACACGCGGTATGCAAGTCCATCATTCCATTGCACCGGGGGGTGGGGGGGGTTTAAGCCTTCAACACAGTGTGTGGAGCCCTTTTTAAAAGCCCCGCCCCCCCACGCCGTAAACACAGCTACGTCACGGAAGATGTTTTTCTTCTTTCCTGACTTTCCGCGTATGATTTTCCACTGAGGTGGAAGAGCAAAACTATTTCCACATTGGAACAGAGACCGACTGAGTTACAGGCTTTTTCCAACCGAGTGGGCAGTGATTTAAATGAGACAGACAACAGAGGACACTGAGAAGAGACAAAGCCCAGCACATAACATGGGGGGGAGGGGTAGACAAAAAAACAACCAGTTCAAAGAACCCATTGAGTGCTGGGAGGCTTTGACTTTGCAAGCGGCTTTATGGTGTAAAGACATGAGCTTGCTAAGCAAACTCTAGAACGTGCTACGGTGAGGGGATGGTGGGTGGTGGTCATCCTTCTGAACGCAACGAGTTGTAGCTTTTACCACTAGGTGGCCGCGCTGGGACTGAAGTCCATGCATGGTGGATGGGTGGATGAGTGGATGAGGGTGGGGGGAGGGAGGGGCGGGGTGCTACTGTCTCAGTCAGTGAGCGAGGGCATTCTGTCACTGCGTCAAAAAAACAATAAAACATCAAAGAAACAGCAGCACGACAGGAATGTTTCCATAAACCATGCAAAGTTGGTCGACAGGTTGTGGCAGGATCTCCATGCTTTTTCCACCAGCTGTGAAAACCGTGAGCTTTATTCTGTCTGAGACTCGCGTCCTACCCCAAGGTTCCAGCGGGACAGGACAGTTTCGGGACTGGACGGGTGGTTACGCTGCAGATATAAGTAAACATGGATGTTTAAATCGACGGAGCGATGGTCCGCTTGCTTTACCTTCCAGCACAGTTGCAAAGAATCGTCGTGTTTGGCCCATAGAGGGCCACAGAAAAAAAGGTCAAGTTTAACGTCTGATGGCGTTTAGTTCCTTTGGTTCTCTAGTTCCTGAACAATTTTTTAAAATTTTAAATTTGTTAACACGGAAGTCACTAAAGATTCTGTTCATTTTTTATATTTAATTTTATATATTTTATTTAAGACCGTCATAATGGATGTTTTTTCATAGGATCCACAGGTTTCCAGTGCCCATCTACGATAGGCTGTTAGATGTGATGCTTCGTGGTGCCCTTTGAACCCAATAATCAATATCATGGGAGATGATGGCGAGATGATGGCGGGGGGCATTATGGACTGAGGCTGTTAATTTGAGTCTCTCCGCTTCCTCCCATCACACTGCACAAACACATCAAATCACATGGCGCTCACCTCAAAGTTCTGCTCTATGAGATTCCCTCCTTTGCTCAGGCTCTCCATGATGGCTTTGTTCCTCAAGATGTCCTCCTCGCTCAGATGCTCCCGTCTCTTCCTGGACTCCAGCACCAGGCCGTTCACAGAGTAAAAGTCGGCCAGAAAGTTCCCCACGCGCTCCTGGAGGGAGAGGAAATAATAACATAACATATTATGGTGACCAAACTGTTTTAGCTATAACGGATAGAAAGAAAACAAAAGAGGAAACAAACGAAAAACAGAGTCAGTTTCTGCCCATATGAGTAAAAAGTGAGAGTCGGGGAGTGGTATGTCATGTTATGTCACATCGTGCATTCTGTCTGAGCACTTCAAAGACCAGACTAATATTTTATGCCTTTTAGGTTGTCAGTGTTTTTTCAGGTGATACAAGGGTTCAAGAGTCTGGGTTCCTTTCATGTTGACCGAGCTGAAAACCATCATGTTCGCCAACAGACGTGGCCACATAATCTCCAATCTACATTCTGACATTTATCTGTGCAGCTTCCATTTCCTGTCTTATCCAGAGAATTTATCCAACTTTCCGTCTCCTTCTGTCTGGGTCGAGCTACCAAAAATCCCAGAAATTACACATCCAGGAGAAACCCTGTGACAGCGCTGCTGAATTTAGAAAAGCTGCGGTGGTGGGAGTAATATCATGATAAGAACTGCGGGCACGGACCGTCTTGTCCTCTCTGAACAGCCATCCGGTCTGCGCCCTGGAGAAGGTGATGGACTTGGTGGAGAGAGTTGCGGAGTACACGTCGCTGCTCATCAGTATGTCTACTTCCTCCTCTGTCTCCATCTCCGACTCCTGAAAACACCGGACGGTGTCAATAACGACAAACAAAAAAAAAGGAAGAAGAAGCTGTAAATGTGGACACACCTCGTGGTGTATCCGCTGGTAGACTTTCTGCTCGTTGTCCAGCACGACGAAAGACTCGGCGGGGACGGCGTTGCCATTGAAGATGAAACTGAGGTCCCCGCGTTGACACTTCATGTCTGTGAAGTCTATCAGGGTGGTGTCCAATCTACGCACACACACACACACACACACACACACACACACACACACACACACACACACACACACACACACACACACACACACACACACACACACACACACACACACGCACATTCAGAGGACGGGTTTAGAGGACAATAGTCAAATCACCGTCTTCGGCCGCCACTGAGACATCAGGAGACACGGCGTCAAAGCTGCGAGTGAAAAGATGGATGTCGCAGCTTTGCTCAGAGAGTTTAGGGACAACGTGAATGTTAATCATTGCCACGCGAGACCAGCGGCACGTTTCAGGAATCTGTTTTTCCCCGAAATGAGGAAGCAAACCGACGAGCTGATCTGCTTTTGAAGAGGTGTGTCCCCCGGGTGGGCAGGACAGACCAGACACACTGTGCCGCTCCAACGCAAATGGACATGTTGTGACAGTTATTTGTTTGTTCGTTTAACCATCTCTCTCTCCCTCTCAAGGATAACAAGAGGGTATTCGGAATACCAAACTAGACAGCCTGGGGCATTTTTGGAAAACAATGAAAACACTTCAGGTTGATAATCAAACACACGCTTATGTGCCACGTTCAGCGTTCAAATAGCAGTAGTTATACTGCTATGATACACAAGAGGCATGTGCCGAATAACAGATCTCGGAGTGCGACAGAGCCGGCAAAACATTGTTCAAACATAGTTAAAATAAAGTAAAAGCATGGAGGGGTAATAAGTAGGTTTTTAAGGGTTGAAGTGCTGCTTGGTGAACATGGAACACACACGGTGGAGTGCTGCTGTACATTTATGGATGTGACTTTGTGTCAGCTTTCCTCGGGTAATGGGGACTCGTTCCTCATACTGCTGGGTGCCGACTTCCCAATCTAAAGAACCCAATTACACTGAAGGTAGAAAACAGGGAGTTATAGAAGAGAATAATGGATGAGTGTTATTGAGACTCAAAAGTAATAATGATGTCCCTGGTAAAAAGTTGTCCTGCAATAAAGCCGCGTTTTAATTTGTCTGGCTTTGTCTTTCCACTTAAAAAAAGAAAATACAGCACGTTTTTTGGACTGGACTTGCCTGATGTTGAGCCCCTGCTTGTAGATCTTACAGGCATCTGAAGGTAGGATTCTGGAGAGCAAAGGCACTGCAACATAAAGTGAAACATTAAGGACGTGTGAAACACAGGAAGCTCACTCAATGATAATAAGCCTCCTCCTCAAAGCATCAGTAGCATGTAGCTCTGTAGAGTAGACGGTATTCTAACAGTTCAAAACAGTCTTATGAAGGACTGCATTGAAAAACAAATCCCTGTGACGTCTGAGATCTTTGAGTCTCGATGGCTTGAACCCGATGCTTCACTGAGCAAATCTTTTTCTCTGGAAAACTACAAATAATTGACTTTCATCAGAAATACTCTGTTATGCTATCAGTTTACAGTGAGTTTTCCGTCATGCATCCATTACATAATCTGGTCCACCTTGTCAATAATTCACAAAGAAACAGTGTACACAGAGTTCTGTCTGTCCCGGCTCACACTCTGAGGGCAGGCGTTTCACCGGTTCCAGCAGACATATTAAGTCATTAAGTCAGTTACTATGTTACATCAGCTTCTGCAGTTTACGAGGCAAAACGAGTCCAGCTGAAAGACCGATTCCGCTTCTGGTGTATGAGGACGTTCCTGATATATTCATAAAAAGGAAGAATTGTTGACGTTAGAGGACGCTCAATTCATTTCCAGCCGATGTGCCTGATGGTACAAATTATAACCAGCTAACCGGACATCGCATTCTCCTGTCACTACACGTTCCTCTGTTGGAACTTGAGTCTTCACCATGGCTGAGGATGCATGGTTCATTTCCAGAGTGGGCTGTGGGGAAATTATGCTTTGTGCCACTATTGTTAGACAGCAGAGGGGGTTGATTGACTCACCCCAGCTCTGGAAGTCCCAGTGAAGCTCCAAGTAAAAGTCCCCAAGCTGGAAATGAAGACAAATGCATTTCAATCACAGGCAAAACTACAGCAGTGGAAACTATGGAAATAAGGGGCTATTTCAAATTAGAAATATTCTTGATATTTGTTGGATGCGAAACATGCATTTCATTTGCACGCAACTGAGAAACCATGACAACAAAGAAACCTTACAACTGTTGCAGGGTGGAAGCCAAAATTGTGTGTCAACACAGTGCACAATTTCACGTTAGTGTCCAAATGTTTAACTGGTGCGGTAAGTCCTTCTGTGCAACCACAATGTTTAACTCCAGGTCTCAAGAGTCTGGGGATAAAGTGTGTATGCGTGTCTCCTGGCTTTGCTGTGTTAGGATGACGAGCAGGACTAGATGAAGACGGACAACTGGAGCGGGAGGGGCCCTGAAGGCAGGAGACCCGGTGAGCTGAAACAAAGAACAGCATCCGGACACCGGGAGCGGCCGGCGGAGGAAGAACGACTCACTTCGTTCAGGGCTTTCAGCAGCTTGGGTCGCTTGTCCTCCACGGTCTCCCTGGACTGTTGTTTCAGCTTCCTCAACAGCGCTGTGACTGAAAGACCAAAGAGAAGCATGAGTGAGACAAAATGCTTCAATGAAATATAAAAGCATATTTTCACAGCGTAGAAAAAATGAAAGCTTAAGAGAGTTTTCAGCACCAAATATTAAATAATCAAATCAGATTGGTTCCCATAACAATTTTATTTCCGTTTTCTTCTGGGGGTTTTTGTTTGTTTTTTATCCGCCACATGTTTGTTTTGACATAATTGTTTACCTAGCATGCAAGACAGAGTCTCCTCAGCATCATCATGATTAGATGAATGAGGAAAGAACACTTTCTCAGATGAGAAACAAACCTTTCACTGGTACTGCATGATGTACCACAATCCCTAAAACAACTGTTAAAAGGTGCCAAAATGCCTACTGCCTTAAAGCAGTAAACTATTCAGTCATTTTTTTTAAAGTGTATGTTCATGCCTGTGTGAGTGCCCTGAGGGTAAGCACCATTATCTTAGGAATAGTCTCACTATCTATGTGACATGCTAAAGGCAAATATCAGCAGGTTACAGTAACGGTGGCTTTCGGCTTGGAGACACGCTGACTTCCCGGGAACAGATGGGACTCTCCCAGTGGCATCGGGCCAATCCCTGCACACCGCCCGCAGAGATGAAAATGTTCCCAGGAGGGGCGATAAAAGGGCAACAAAGGGCAAAGGCAGAAAGCCTTTTAACCTCCATGACAACCTCGGGGTAGAGATATACTCGCATTCACAGGCATTCACAGCTCTTCGGCTGCAGAGACTTGTTTACATAAAATGACCACAGTTAAAGGAAAAACAAAACCACACCCAACTAGCAAACTCAAATGTTATTAACTGAACGGGACGAGGGCCACATAATTGTGTGGCCCTTATAAACTAATAGAGACCGTAATAAAAAAAAAAACTTTTCATGAAGGTTTGGCTTGTGCGACCCAGACAGCCCCGTATTTGAATAAGAGCGCACATGCGCACATAAGGGTGCACACGCACACACACGCGCGCGCACGCGGAGGTCCGGCTGCCTCATAAATGTGGACGAGCTCTAGATGAAGCTCCTCCTGATCCTCGCTGCCTCTCCGTGGGACTATATATATGATCAAAGTACAACCTCACCAGCTGGTCACGGACCACCCTGCCAACAAAGCCCCACCAACCAACGCGGACGTCTTTACACTAAACCAAACTGACACGCCGGAGTCAATTCACTGAGAAACTACGGTAATTAGAAGAGTGATACTAAACACCGCCACACATCGCTGAAAAGAGACAGAGTCGGGACTATTTGTATTCACTACAAAATACAAGTATTTAACAACATACATAGTATACTGTTTAAATGTTGTTGTGTTTTACAATGGAACATGATTAATACCGTAGCTGTAGAGTAAGAGCTAGGCACCAAAATACTATTTGTTTTCAATGTTACAAATCTTATTTTGTTACAAAGATCCTCTTCCAAAGAAAAAAATAATAAGTTCCTGAGATAATAAGTCTTTGAAGAGACAATTCATTTAACTCCTAAATATAGGTTTCTTTCTTACTGTCATTCAGAGAGACATCTCGTTGCCTGGATACCACAACGCGATGATAGCATAACAATACGAGGACAAAAAGATCCTTCAGCATCTTTAGCATTTGATCTTCTAATTGTAACAGTGTAATGTTCTCGAAAGGAGAGAAACAGTGTCAGACACAAGGTAAGAAATAATGAAAGCCAGGCAGCAGTTTCCCGTCTAATAAACACCAATGTGACTGTGGCAGCTTTTAAAAAGGCTCCTGACACAGAAAACCCAGCTGTGTGAGTGGAAAGACAGAAATAGCTCTTAGTGAACCAAACACATGACAAAAAAACTATTTCGGTGCCAGGTTTGGCCTCATTCTTCAAATGATAAAAAAAAATATTGATGGTGACAAATGCATCTAACCACAACCCGATGTCGGTTGCTGAGTTAAAGTTTAGTCACAAAGAAAATGAATAAGGCAGCGAGAGCACCGGGTTAAGAGATGTGTTGTTGACTTCACAGAGAACCAGACGTCTAAAACTAAATTAAATGACGCAACAGTGTTTTCAGCAGCGTCCAAACCAGAACTTTTATGTTCAATTTTATTCTTGTATTGCACCAACCGCCAATAAATGTAAATAAATGCTTCCGATCTGATGTGCCTCACTTGTCAGTCAGACAAAAAGCTCCTCAGTATCTCCACTTCCCTCACACACTCCTGACACACACTGACTACACACATCCACCCATTACTGGCCGCAGACAGGCTCTGCTTGTGAGTAACCAGTGAGGCAGTCAACGGCGTTATAAAAGCCAGTTATCTACAGCACCGGTCTCCTTTAATGTCCTCGACAAATTGTAGCGCTTAAAACTGTACTTATAATGCCACTTATCTATAGCAAGTTGTATATCGGCTTATTGGATGAAATTGCACTTTCTTGTTCTTCTAGGTTTGTATCCTTATGGTTGAAAGTCGCTTCGGATAAAAACATCAGCTAAATGACATGTAATGTAATGTAATGTAATGTAGTGGCAGCTCGGTGACTGTTTGACTGTGCTCACGCTCAGCTTTCTATCACAACGGAGGTCCTCCCTGCCCTGTACTCTGGACAACATTAAATAACAAACATGTGAAATAGGGTCAAACAGTAACACGCCTCAGAGGCAGATTTGTTTTTTTCCCCCACAGCTGGAGTTCCTCTCGTCAGCAAATTCGTATAATCAGCAGGCTGACCTAGTGTGCCTGTGTACTAGCAGGATGAGGATGAGCGATTTCCTGATCTCCTCCTGCGCTGCGGGCTAAACGCACCTCTACCCCCCCCCCCCCATCCCTCTTTCCCCCAGGAGCAGCGGGTAATGTCCTTGGAAGCCAATGCATGGTCTTGGAATTAGCATTCCCTTTGCGTGCTGGAGCTTCGCCTCATGGTTTTTAGTTTTTCTTACCTTATTCTGCCTTTGAGCGTTAACATATTCTCATTGCATTCAAATGCGTAATCATTAGTGGCTAAGCGGATGGCACACGATTTGATTGTTTTATTTGATCATATTTACATTAGCAGGTTTTGCTTGAATTGGAAATGTTTTATAAAGATATAAAATAATAACATTATACTTAATGTTCCAACCCCATGTACTTCCAATATTCCAATACCAGTTCACACATACTTTCCCTTCTCCGACTCAGTCTGGCAGTGGTTTTGTGACCATAGCAATGTAAATAGTTTGGCACGTTTGTATTTAGATCCTCACTACTGCTACAGAGTTCCACCACACGGAACCACACCTCAGGCCTTCCTGTCAGCATGACAAGAGTATCAAGAACTTTATGTAGACGATAGACCATACAGCCAATTGTTACATGAAAGTAAGCTTTGAGATATACAAAAGCGATACAGTCCTAAAGTTCTGCTAGCAGTGGTGTGATTCCAACGCAGCACATTTTAACGAATGCTCTCGCGGAAGTCAAATATTTAATATGTTGAAGATGAAAGCGCCGGTGTACATGGATGTTCTCATCCACCACTGAGCCCCTATAACGACTGATTGGTTCCACTGCCTGGCGTCGGTTCGCCTCGCAGTCGGCTACTTACTCATTTGTCGATCTCCGTAGCTGATGGCCTCGGCGAGGGGACTCCATCCCTGAGCGTTCTTCACCTTCACAGGCGCATTGTGGGCCAGCAGCAGGTGGGCACATTCTATGCGAAAGGACAGGAAGACAGTCAGATGCCGAAACCAAATTTCTCCTGAGCTACTTCATCTCATCCCTTTCCACGTTGCTATGGCGACGTTCATATTTAGCCTGCCAACACCCAGCAGCAGAAAATGAAGCCTGTTGTACCGGCTCAGCTGTCCCCTTTTGTCGTGACATCATTAATGATACTGATGGCCGTCTGCGCGGCTCGGTCTCAGTGCTCGGCAGGGACCGTCAGTCGCACGTGAACGCTGGCAAACCGCTGGAATGCAAAGCAACGGCAAACCGCTGGCGGCCCGCTGCTGGGTGGAGACGCAGGGCGGGATCACTGGAGCTGGTTTTTGGCCGCGCTTTCCAACGATCGTTTCCGCTGACAAAAGCCGTGTTTTGTGCTTTGTTCACGCAGCAAAGCCCTTCAGATCTCGTATACAAATTCAAACTGGTTGCCGCCCTCATGTTCAGACTTGTTTCTCCGCTCAACACGAGTATCAAAGTTGGAAGTTAAAAAAGCCACCTGAAGTGGTGCAGTCACGGAGCCAACCCTGGCTAGAGATAATGACTTCTGCCTTTTTTCAAAAGAGCACGTAACACACACACACACACACACACACACACACACACACACAGTATCAACATTGTCACAGTTTCATACTGCACATCACCCCTCAGATCTACGTATGCAATGTTTTATTAATGACAAGGAGCCTCATGCATTCTTTATTAAAGAGAGGAATACATTTTGAAATTCTTCCTAATTCAACCCGATTTGTTTTCTTACTGAATTTCTGCCCGGCCCTGTTCCAGGCAATCTGCTGAGCTAAGCTCGGACTATTGTCCAAACTCAGCACTTCAGAAAGACCAAATAACATCGGCCATCCTGCATGCTGTTATTAAATAAAGATGCCCCGTCTTCATGCATTAGTCTGACCCGTAGCCTGCCTGGGGGTGGAGCAGCTGATTACAGAGGCGGATCTGGAGAAAACACAGGCGGCCATGTGCATGAGCATGGGCTTTCTAATGTGAGATCTTTTATTCCCTCTCGTCTTTGAGCGATATATCAACCTGCTAAAAACCATAATTGTGGAATTATCATGATTACATTCAGCATGGGCTGCACGGTGTCGTGGTGGTTAGCACTGTCGCCTCACAGCAAGAAGGTCCTTCTGTGTGGAGTGTGCATGTTCTCCCCGTGTCTGCGTGGGTTCTCTCCGGGTTCTCCGGCTTCCTCCCACAGTCCAAAGACATGCTCTGGGGATCAGGTTAATTGGGGACTTTAAATTGCCCGTAGATGTGTGAATGTGAGCGTGAATAGTTGTATGTCTCTGTGTGTTGTACCTAGGGTGGCCATTTGTCCCGCTTTGGGCCGGACAGTCCGGCTTTTAAATGCCCCGGACACTCGTTTGTCCTCCTTTTGAGAAAATAACTAACAAGGTGCGCCTTTTGACACATTACCTCGTTAGTTTAATACGTATTGGCTAAAAATGTGTGTAAAAAATAAGTAATGTCATTGTCACATTTTCGTGTAGTTTTATATTTTACTGAACGGTTGGTAATATCTCCCCCCCCCCGTCAATAAATGACTCGAAGAATGATTCGTTCGTTCATCTTACCACCCCCATCACTAGTGTCCTCCTTTTTGACGTGAAGGAAATGGCCACCCTAGTTGTACCCCGTCTATCGCCCGAAGTTGGGCTGGGATGGACTCCAGCCCCCCCGCGACCCTGTGTGCAGGTTAAGGGGTGGGACAATGGATGGATGGATGGACTTTCAGCATCCAGTATATAACCATTAGGACACAATGGCATTCTGGTTTTGAGAATCAGCCAAAGATGAAATGATTTAAGTCCCAATACTGTACAGACACATTCCTGGTTCACGTCCAATCCATCCAATACGCTGGCAGATGCGTATTTCCTACTCCCCCCCCCCCCTCAATTGACAAATTGTCCCAGCTTTATGTCCTATAATACAGTTTTAGTGTATTGCTATATTACTATCTTTTTTGGGGAATTGGGCTCATTTACTCATGCTGGGAACGCTGGGAAACAATCAATCCCGATCAAGGTTATTTACTTGAGTTAAATCAAAGGAGATGCCTGGATACACTGACAATTAGCCTTTGACTCTAAAGCAGTGGTCTGGTGTCCGATTCCATCTGTCCTGGAGTCGTGAAAGTATTGAAATTAAGTCTCCCTTTGGGCTTCGGGGTTAATTGCAAGTGCAGTAACATGGAGGTCCTGCTCAAGACACATACGGTACCAACTCGACTAAAGGAATGAAGGCGGAGATATAAAGTGCTAATCTATCGCATCCCTACGTGCAGCGGCTACAGATGGGGCACAAGACAAAAGGCTCTGTGGGCTGTTAAAACCCCCCACCAACACCACCCATTTCCGATCTAGGCTGAGTACATCTATAAAAAAAATTTAAAAAGGCTTTTTCGCTCACTTTCTCACCATCAATCCCACACTCAGTGAACGAATCAACAGTTGAAGAAACCACATTGTTGCAGCCTCTGAAACAAAACAGATGCTCTTTAATGTTTCTCGGTTTGCTTTGCAGATTATCCCAAACCAATGTTATGCTTAAGTACATAATCGGACTCTAAACTGCTCTCCTGATTAAACAGGCTGCTCTTCTCTTTTTGTTTCGCGATGACCTGATAAAATAAGCATTGTGTGGTTCTTTGGCACCGAACACTCTCTGGGATGTTTGTTATCTCTGAAAGCAATTTGAGACCTCGAGGGGTTTTATCTTTGAGGCCAAAGGACAATCTAAACCCCAGGACAAAGAAATGATCCTTTGAGGGGACACAACAGGAAACAAGCTTCGGAAAGCAACCTTTTTTATCTTACAGCTCGGGAAATGGCATCAAAACAAAGCTAGGTGTGAAACACAGTTAGAAGCGTCCAATAAGTTTAGATTTCCGGCAAGTTTCCACAGAAGACAATTTGTTCAGGACAAAAATAATCATTTAGAAAGCAACCGGAGGAGAAGAGTATTCTTTGAATAGAAAAATCTATTGTTGTTAATTCAGTCATCATCAATGATTCTGGTGTAGTTTTAGTATTACTTATTGCTTTAAATCAATTAGCATTTCTTCTTTATCGATTGGACAACCCTGTGATAATTATTGGACTTACATCACTTTAACATGCCGGGCTACGAGAAACCCGTCACTGCCGTTACTAGTCTGGTAAATAACAAACAAACGCTGTGCAAAAAGAGAGCCTTGTTCTCCTCATCCCAACAGACCCGCCGCACCCAAACAATGACTTCATGCTGCAAACACTCAGCCTGTCTGCTCCGAGCATCCCTGGAGGACTGCAGCTCAGGCAACATCAGCATCAGCATCAGCATCATCATCATAAATTCCATAGTGTCCTATGCGCCACCTCACTTCGGCACTCCACTGACTGGATTACCGATCACCAGCAGCACCAACAACAGGAATTGGACCCGAATGGTAAATCCAATGAGAGACAATAAACAAATGGGAATGCGCACAACAAAGTACTCCTGTGCTTGAATGGTTGACTGAGAAGCTGCAGAAGAGGGGTGATTAATCTTTCAATAGCATGTTCTGAGGTCTCCTCGCATTCATATTTTATGCACACACTTTCAGTCCAACCATGGCATTTCAGCAGAGAACAAAATTATGTAAAGACTTGATACACCAAAACATATTCATGTTATACTCCCAACTGTTATTCTAAAACTCGACTAGTTACACTTTCTCAAGAGACGTAAGCCTCCGAGACGAGTCATTCTTTTTCAAAATCCACACCGATGAAATGTTTTTTTGTCTTTCACATATTAAATAGAAGAGAAGGCCACACAAAGAGAATAAAACATCTTCAGTAATTATATTTTTGACCAAGCAGTATTTCTCAAATTGGGATGGGATTTGTGTGGCAAATCTGTGATGAATGTCACGTTATGTGTGCAGACAAATGCACACACAAGGCAGCAAAACAAAAATAAAAACACACATGAACAGAAATTCAGACCAGCAGGGAGATTAAATTATAGAGGAGCATAAAGATGGATGCAGACCAGATAGAGAGGCATCTTTAATTTATTACTCACCTTTGTTTCCCATCATTACAGCAAGATGCAATGGAGTGTTTCCTGAAGGAGAAAAAAAAACAGAATCTGTCAGCTGCTTTTGATAATCACCATAAGAAACAGCAGTCTGTGATAAGCCCTGTGACTCAGATCCTGGTCAATCAGATGGTTAAATTAGGAGGCTGGGTCCACTAAATTCTAAAAGATATGGTAAGTATGCCCATTGAGTGTCCTCCTACCATGTGAAGAAATATAAGATAAGATAAGGTATTCCTTTATTGGTCCCACAATGGGGAAATTCACAGGATCACGGTAGTGGACACAAGGGCAGCAGTAAAATAAAAGGGGTGTAAATATTACAGTAACTGAATATACTAAGACCTAAATAAATATGAATATGTAGACATAGCATACCCAAGTGGATATTGCACATTGTCATTTTTATTGAACATATATGTTAGTGTTCTTGCTAATGTTCTGTGGTTCACTGGGTGCACAGTTGGTTGTGCAGCCTGACAGCAGGTACCGAAGGTCCTTCCAGGTAGGAAGGACCTGCGGTACCTCTCCTTCACACACCGGGGGGGTGAAGGAGCTGTACGGAGCTTCCAGGGCATCCACCATGGGATGGGAGGTGCTGCTCGTCGGGGATGATAGCTTAGTCATCACCCCCCTGTCTCCCACCACCTCCACCGTGTCCAGTGGACACCCCAGCACACTGCTGGCCTCCTTTGTATTATATACTGTATTAACCTACTGCTCCCCAGAAGTAAACTGCATTCTAATTTCAGGTAAAACTACAATACAGGAGTTCGGAGTCTGTCACACTCAAGGAACTGTCTTTAACCAGCCAGCCAAATTAAAACCAATACTCAGCAAGTAGATTAAAAAAGGGGGTTCAACATGCTAAGGATGTCTCATGTGCTTCATTGAGCTATTATTTGCGGCCTGCCCAAATCCACACACACACACACACACACACACACACACAAAAGACGCCGAGATTGCAATGGAGGTGAATGGAATTGTGTGTATTCTGTAAAAACATAATTTAACATTTTGCAAATGCAGATTAATCAAAAATATGTGATTAATCAATAATAAAATTATCATTAGTTGTAGCCGTTTCAACCAGACAAAAAAACTGAAGCTAATTGGAGATATTGGATGGTTCTAACGCCATTACACCTCCGTTTCCAGAGGAAGATGAAATAACTGCGTAAACAAACAGACGGCCACCAACCCAAACCCTGGAGAAGATGGGGGAAACCGTCCAGCCCCCCACCCCGCACTCCTGCCACTCTGACGCCTTGTTTCTTTACCATGTCAGAGCTTTTGAATTGAATACAGACCACATTCCAGGGCTGACAGTGAGCACAAGTGTTCTTGGCGCCACACAATCACGTCCTTTTGTTAGGCTGGAAATCTGAGCCCTGCAGTGCAGCAGAGGGACCATCAGTGGGGGGAAAAAAGGTCAAACACATCTGGGGACCAACTTCTAAAGAGCATTCATAAAGATAAAAAAAAACCTCATTCTGCAGGGGTTTTGTGACTGTGATACATTGGGAATCGCAGGGATCCAGGAGGGAGCAGCATCGAAGCATCTATTCTTACTCTACTGGCCTGCTGTTTTTTGTTTTTGTTTATGTTTCTGTTTTATCTTTGGGCCTTGGCCGGGAGAAGCCTCGCCTACTCTGAACTCGCTGGATCGTGGGGCGAGTGCCTTCGGGGTGAGGGGGGAGGAGAGAAGAGAGAGACGAGCGGCCCGCTGCACACTCACCGTGGGCATCTTTCTGGGCGATGTTCTGCGTCCTAATGAGGGAGGACAGGCGTCGGACATCTCCCCTGAACACGCACTCGTGCACCAGGAAGTCCGCTCCGGTCGGGATGATGGGGTTTTTGTTGTTGTCGTCGATGACGTCCGGTGTTGACAGCGTGTGGGTGTTGGCGTTGATCTGCTGGTTGTGCTGCTGGCTGGAGGCGGACTTGATCAACTTGTGGTTGCTGAAAATTTTACTCGCTCGGCTCTTGTTGCTCGTCTTGGAGGCGGTGAAGGTCCCGGTGGCAGCCTCCTCGTCCGGCTCCAGTAAATCCTCGTCCTTGCTCGGCCTGTGATCTTTCCGCACCGAGCGGATCTTCTCTCCGGTCATTTTTTTCTTCTTCTTCTAAACAGTTATGGCAGCAGAGGGTGTCGTCGCTGACGATGACCATCCGGGGGGCGAACAGATGCTATTCGCCAGTTGGAAGTCGTCACGTAAACACCCCGCACAACATGAAAAACACGCACTTTAAGTGTCAACCGCACACACACGCGGGCAAACACGAACAAGTAGCGACTTCCTAAACACGGGTGGACTATGAAGACAAAACACTCCACAGTCCTCCAATTGGGTTGAACTGTCGTCGGTGGCTGCACAACATAAGCGGCTCCGGTTAACTCGCGCGGATGATTCGGCTGATGGCTTCCGCCTCGTAGTATCGCGAGAGTTCAGTAAAGGTTACCACAAAGCACGAGCCGATAGACTGTTGTAAAGCGCTTTTGATGACAAAATGTTTTGAAGATCACACCCGCAGCACCCCCACCCCTAATTTAGTTTTCCCTAAGAATACGTTTACTGTAACAAAATGTCTCCACCGTACAATAAACTTGTTTTGTGTTTACAATGAGAAGAGTGCTCACTTGTTGTTCACCAGCTGTTCATGTGTACAACGCTGTCTGACTTGAAGTATTATATTTTAATGCATGCATCTGGAACAATAGTACGGGACGCAATATTATGCAGCTCCTCTGTTGTGTATTACGGTAAAGTATCAATTACACAATATCCACCAAAGTTGGAGTAAGTTGTTGTGGAATATTTCAATAAAACTACTTCGGGAGAAAAATTCGTTTTTAGGTTTAATAAAAACAGAGTCTTGATGAATGATCAAAGTTGTAAAAGTCAATGTATTGCTTGTAAGCAGGAGGTGAAACGCGCTAGCACGTATTTCAGTGCCCTGTGGAGATGGCGTCTCCGAGCAGTCAAAACGCAGAGCTTTTATACACACATACTAAGGTCAAGGCCAGTGGCAGGGGGTCAGAGAGAGGCAAAAGAAAGCCTCAAGAAATACCAATGAGTCAACAGAGCACTTCCTCCCTCTATTGCTCAAGATTGGAGTTACAGCCAAACGTCTGTGTCGTGTACAGTACACCACAACGAACAACTATTCACCAAGGAATTCAATGTGTACTTTCATAACAAAAACCGTTCGTGGTGGTTGGGAAAATATCCATATTATGGTATTCAGTAATTAAATACACATTCAAGTTGTGCTCATTATTTTTTAGCTTGAAGTCATCCTAGTTCCGTTTAAGATAGTTCTCTGTGGCATTTCCAATTAGCACCCGCTAGAAGTCGGTTCATAAAGTAAAATTGTAATAAAACGAGAGGTAAAATGTCAAAAATGTCAACGTGAAACGCTATTGCATCACTACCGCGCAGCCCGAGCGCTCACAAGGGTCACGTGTCCATGACGCCCCTGCCGACCCACCAATCAGAACCTTCATTCTCGTGTTGATGGGCCCCGATTGGTTCGCAGCGAAGCGTAGAGCGCAGGACAAGATAAAAACCGCTTCCTCTCCCCCTCCACACCGTGTAGACGCGCTCTCACCCCCCCCTCCCTCCAGTTTCCCGTTATCACACGCTGGTGCGAGCGCATAACCATGGACCACAAGCGCAAACAAGACGAGCACAGCGATTTGTTCGCCGGCTTCAGTACGGCGTATAAATCGTTCGCCACAGAGGCCATTCACGTCGGGCAGGAACCGGAACAATGGAAATCAATGGCTGTGGTGCCGCCGATTTCTCTGTCCACCACGTTTAAGCAGCTCACACCAGGAAACCACGCCGTAAGTAGCCCGTATGCCGAACGCCTTGGTTGCCTAATAAGGAGCTGGCGCACGGGGGGTTGAATCGCACAAGGAGGTGCCCTAAATTATGACGGTAGATTTATGTCTTTTATTATGCAAACAAAAAAAAAAACACGATTCGAGAGCAAATGTCTTGCATAAAGAAATTTTAAAAAAAAGTGTGAGTAAAAATCAGAATAAATGATTTATTTTTGCTTATGAAACTATTGTTCGAGACAAAGCTTTGGTCTCGAAAATAATAATAAAGACACAAATCTACCTTCATACTAAATAAATAATCTCAGCAACATGGCAATTATATAGAAGTACAGCGAGATTGGGGATATAATGAGTTGTATACTAAACAGAAATTTTGTATGAAAATTAGTATGAATTGCAATCCTACACACAACAAAACATTGTTTTTTTGCCCAACCCCGGTCATACACCGTTTTAACTTTTCAACATGTCTGGTGTTCTTCTGCTTCCCCAGTCGAAAGGGAGTCTAAGGGAAAAGAGACTTTTCCTCTCTTGTTGGAAAAAGGACTCTCCATTGCCTCCTATTTGGCATTTTAATGCCAAGGTTAACTTTTGGACCTGCCATTTGTTTCTGTCAATTATTATGGTTTCGTATGGGTTAGCCTTTCAATAGTTTTACCATTACAAGTCTGGACTCTATTTTGCTGTCACAATCAAATGCAGAGAGCATTTAAGCTGCAAGCAGCGCATAAAGGGGCCCTTTCATCCTCAAATGACTCGACCCACACCAATGTATTAAACGTCATATTGCCGTGTATCCCATTACACCAGTATTAACCGTCATGGTAGATCTTCACCCCATCCTGTGACACCCTTCCATGACTTCCCGTAGTCAGTAGGTTGTCCTATGACTATTTCTCAACATGGGCATGCAGATGTTCTTCAGGTGTGTATTGTTCGCCCCCAGGTGGATTGTAGGGAAGGGGGGCGAAGTTACAAAAGCAATATGCAAACCACAAATGAAAGAGATCTGATAAACCCTCTAAGAGGAGCTCAGCTGAGCTGGCGTAAAACACAGGTTTTGAGATCTGTGGTAGCTTTTGAGTATACCAAGGGCGTCAACATGGCGTTTAAACGCTAAATTAATTGAGCCGTCTTGGCACACCTCACCCATTTCAAACTTTGAACACCATTGTATCGTTTCGTGGATTTTCGTACATCACAAAGTCCTCAAAAGTGTTTGTAAAGTAAAATCAATTTCACATAATGGTTGAGTTGCTGTCTGAAGAACAATGTCCCAAAGCTTTTCAATGCCCTCCAAGAGGACCGCAATGATCCCGGTAACTTTTGGGAATTTCAGGAAGAAAAAAAAATGTTTCCAGACACTCGTGCTCAAGCTCTAATTACTTAAGCGTTTTGTGCATTCATACACCAAGACGTTTTAAACAAAGAAACAAAGGCGGAGTCTTCATGTGACCGGTATGGATGCTGTGTTTTAAAACACAGTATCTTATTACAGATGTCCATTGAGGTGACTTCACTGAGCTCTTCACATTCTGCTTTAATTACAGGGGTATGAATACAGCCGCAGTGGAAACCCCACAAGAAACTGCCTTGAGACGGCCGTGGCTGCTTTGGATGGGGCAAAGTATTGTAAGTATGACAATTTATAAGTGACGCTCACATAATCGCGACAGGCATATTTCCCACAAAGAGAAATTACTTTACATTCATTCCTGTATTGAGATGATGCATAACCAGGATCCCCCCCCACCCCCCACTCCCCCCCTGCAGGCATTGCGGTGGCGTCTGGGCTGGCGGCCACAGTAACCATCACTCACTTGCTCAAGTCGGGTGACGGAATCGTCTGCATGGATGACGTGTACGGAGGTGGGACACGCTGTTTGCACAATGACTGTAGAAAAAATAATGATGCAACGCTTGCGACTGTTTACACGTGCAATTATAAACCTGACAGTTTCCCCACTTGGACCAAAAGCTTCTTGCTGTGAACGTGAAAGCATGTAGCTTTAGTTTGTTTTTTAAATCGGGTAACCGTGGAAATGTTGACTTAGTTTCAGTTTCTCAATTGCACCAGGCACAAACCGCTACTTCCAAAGAATTGCAACTGAAGGTGGTCTTGAGGTGTCTTTCGCTGACTTTACAAAGAAAGAGCTGCTCAAGGCGGCGCTGAAGGCCAACACCAAAGTAAGTCTGGTTACTCGTGTGGCAACGTCTTTGTCTTGTCTTGTCACACCCAATGAGCCCAAACACAATACGCTGTTTGGATCTCATTGGTTGTATCGTAAGTTGAAGCAGTCACTGTGAATCAGCATTTAGTGCGCGTCTTTGACTCGGCAGGTGAGCTGTCTCTCGGCTCCGAGGTGACACATTTTGGCCACGTTGTTGCCGCTCCCTGCTATTTGTTTGCTTACGCGTTGTTGCTTTGTGTAGCTTGTGTGGATTGAGACACCCACCAACCCCACGATGAAGGTTGTCGATATAAAGGCCTGTTCTGAGTTGGTCCATGAATACAACAAAGACATAGTGGTGGTTGTGGACAACACCTTCATGTCTGCCTACTTCCAGGTGAGGGTGACAGTTTTGCACTGCTTTTTAAAAAGAATCCGTTTCCAGGACAGAAGTAATTGATTAACTTGTGTGTTTGTCTCGTGCACTCTTAGCGGCCTTTGGCTTTGGGTGCTGATATCTGCATGTATTCAGCGACCAAATACATGAACGGTAGGTCTATGTACATTTTTCCCATTTTACTATGATGTCAATCCTATCATTCCAATCAGAACCTGCAATATTTTCTTTATAGCTCAAAAAATGACTTCATTCGACGCACATTCTACTCCAAATGACTTTGACATTCGGACTGTATTAAAGATCAATCTTTCCTGCATTGGTTTGATTTGTCAGGGCACAGTGACGTGGTAATGGGTCTGGCCTCAATGAACCGGGATGATCTGTATGAGCGACTGAAGTTTCTGCAAAATGGTGAGTGGGAATGACAACGTGTTACATTGTGATGTAATGTCAATTTTCTCGATGGGTGTTTTATTCAAATCTGAGTTAGCAAGTGGTTATTGCCCAAGCTGGATATTTCAACCGGATTCACTAATTTAACATGAGAACAAAGTTCAGCACCAATTAAAAACCTTTCAGAGCGAACCATTTGTTTCTGCTTCTTTCGTTTCCCCCCCTCCCCCATGTGACCCTGTCCTGGTCCAGCTCTCGGCTGCGTACCGTCTCCCTTCGACTGCTTCCTGTGCAACCGAGGACTGAAGACGCTACACCTGCGGATGGAGCGCCATTTCAAGAACGCCATGGCTGCCGCAAAGTTTCTGGAGGCAGATCCCAGGGTGGAGCGGGTCGTTTTCCCAGGTGATCTCTCTGCACTGGAATGCAGCAAACAAGTTTTGAATATGCAATAGCATATTGTTATAGCATGTCTGTTTCACTCGGCCAAATCATGCAACGTTTTATCTACACGCGCAAACCTGTTTTTTCTTCATTTCAACCATCTCATTATACGCATTAAACTATAAGAAATGCAAGTTAACTAAAATGGTCCGCGGATGCCCCACTTTACTGTTTTGTCTTTCAACACAGGCCTGGCCTCTCACCCCCAGCACGAAGTGATGAAGAAACAATGCACTGGATGTCCGGGGATGATCACCTTCTATATTAAGGGGAAACTCGAGCACGCCAGCGCCTTCCTCAGTAACCTCAAAGTAATCTAGTTGTGAATTTCAGTTTTGATTCTTAAACATCGGTTTCTGTTCAAACTGACATAAACATCAGAATGTGCTACAGGCGTTCGAACTGACATCTGACACCTGAACTCCATTCAAAGACGGTTTTTGTCTGCATCCAAAATCTTTCAATTTCGTCTCCTCGTAGACTTTCCTCAATAACGTGATTTCTTAGTGATTTCGAACCGCATGAAGCTTTTTAAAGATAATTTAATGAAGTTTCAGCTCATGTTGTCACAAGATGACTAGATCGCCATTGTGACAGATGCTGCATGTTTAAAAAAAAAAAAAAAAAAAAGTCAAAGGACTTAACCACAACGTGTCAGTAAAATAATCTGCGTGTGGTTACTTGTTTGGTGTGAATTGATTTTTCTATTCCTTTTTAGTTGAGTTTTACAACTTGTTTATTTCATGTTCTGTCTCTTTGTTTCAGTTGTTCGCGATAGCTGAGAGTCTTGGTGGCTACGAAAGTTTAGCAGAACATCCGTAAGTATCCATGGAGATTTCTAATCTTTACTACTTCCGTATTATTTTTGTATTTTTAGAGAATGTGTAGACGGAGAAAGACCGACATTTTAAACTTGGTCCGTCTCACTGGTTAAAGTACAATTCAGATCAAATCCAAACCTATAAAACACACATAAAAACAAATGGATCAAAGGGAATTCAACACCATGAGCAAAACACTAGCACCTAAAAGGAAATTGGGAGCAACTTCAAAACACCCACAAGAGGAAGTGCTGCAGGTACATTAAACCGTTGTGCAATCTAACCTGCCAAGCGCCCTGCGGTGCTGATTATGGTTTTGTAGGCGGTTGACCGCTTCAGGATAATTGCTGTTGTGAAACCTAAATGTCCTGCTGTTACTGGTTTTCAGTCTTTTGTGAGAAGGAAGGGAATGAATACGTTTGTTAGCTGGGTGTGATGAGTCTTATCAAACTTCAACTTCAACTCAACCTGCTATTGTAATGTGGCCTTACAGATTTTCTGTAGCAACAGGAGATCACATCCAATTATTCTGATCGTAGTACGCACAGCTGTCTGGTGATCTCCGTCTGTGTGGTGCTGTTGTTCCAGACAAATGACCATGACCAAGTTCAGGTGATTCCCACAGCTTCTGGGAAAGTGGACTCCTCCTAATTCCTTGGCTCTGATAACTATTAACTCCTTGTTGTTTGAAAGAAAAGAGACAACAAAAACACAGCAAGTTTAAACATGTCAGACTGCGAGTTGGGAAACGGGTATTTTGGTGGGTCAGCGGCGGGAAGAGTACAGATTCTGGGAAGCCCCAGTGTGATTGTAGAGGATTTTTAAGAACACTATTCATAAGCAAGTTACTTTTTTATAAGTTTAACTACCTGCAACCTCCAATAAGGAGTCCATTCAAAATGATCATGTCAAATAGGGGTAATATCCTCTGAGCATTTCAGGAAAACTGTTGGTCCCTGATCTGGGCCTTCAGCCTCCCTACTGTTACCTAAAGATATAACATTTAGCAACAGTGAATGACCCTAAGATGTAATGACAGAGTAGCTCCACAAGGGGGCAGCACACACCAAGCATAAAACATCCCTGTGCGACTTAGACTAACTATAATTAAGACACTATTTCCATCGTCTGCTCGGATCTCTGTTAAAACAGCGGCATGTCTGTGTTCATGAGTGGCATTGTCTTCTATCGTAATCTAGGGCGATTATGACCCACGCGTCGGTGCCGGAAAAAGAGCGGACTGTGCTGGGGATCAGTGACACACTCATCCGACTCTCTGTGGGTCTGGAGGACGAGGAAGACATCATTGAAGATCTGAATCAAGCACTGGCTGCTGCTGTGAGTATCATCCAAAGCTGGAGGAGCTGCGTAACGTCCATCAAACCAATGTGGTTTCTTTTACTAATTGACAGTTTAAATTATGACACCAAGTTGATGGGGAACTGGAATTACTTTAATCTCGCTCTCATAAGTGATTGGGATACACTGCTCATTAATTCGTTTTTCAATAATCAAAAGCGAGCACAGCTTTTAGAGATTTGGCTCCAGTTCCCAGTTCCCTTGGAGGGAGGAGGGAGGCGAGTGAGTGGAGGGTGTTTATGTAACAATCAGACTTCCTTCTTAAACCAAATTTATCCACCAAATAGGAGTAGGACATGTATAAATAATCACTTTATATTAAGTTATTCATGTTGTACTATAAGTATTTTTTTTGACGCGGCTCTGTCTGGTGTTGAGAAATGCCGTTGCTTGGAGGTTACTTCTAGAATATAGTTGTATGTTTTTCAGCAAGTTGCACTGTTAATGTTTAAATTAAAACAACATGTCACTCAAACGTGTTATTTAATAACGACATGCGTGGATCTAATGTCAGACTATATGATGCCAGAGCTGTGGGATGACATGCGAGTTATGACCCTCACAACCAGTGGTCTATTCGGGTTAGAAGGAATATACGTTTCAAGGAAAATTAAACCAGATTAACTGATGTGCAACGGCCCGAAACTTGACAAAATAGTTGTTTGCTTTTTAAGGCACACGCCAAACTAAACATTCAAGATGTAAAGTGCAGAATAACGCATGGCTGTCAAAATATGGACTAATCCCGCCTGAAGAAGTAGTAGCAATTGTCCTGGGAACCATTTAGGGAGAGCCAGGCCAGGAAGAGTAGCAGACCAAGATTGAGTTAAGTATGCAGGGGTTGCACACTGCAAACTTTATTAAGTGCTGTGGTGGATCCACCACAGCACGCTGTGAGGTCTCTGTGTCTGTGCAGCTGTCTGCGGTCCCCCGGGCATTTTCTTCCATCTCCACATTGCTCAGCAAATACCTTATTTTTTTTAATTTAAAAAAAAAAAAAAAAAATGTTAATAGATACTCAATAACAGAATCATGGTTTCGAAATTCATTTGGCATATAAAGACATTTTCTGAGTTTACGACAATCCTGCTGGGGAAGGATTCATCCCTAATTCCACCTATCAACTGCATTACCATCAGCAGGGAATTCGAGTTTCCTGGAACACCTTTTTTTTGCCAACTCATGCAGCAGGTTCTTGAATGGCGGGCTGCGCCTCCACTCCTCAGGAATCAGATAATGTCTCTGAATCTCTCTCCTGCCCATCTGCTGCAAATGGAAATTAAATGGAGACAAATATCTATAATGACTTTGTGGTATGGGGGGAAAAAAGGCACCGCTGATGGGTGAAGCATTTCATTGGAATGGACGGCGGGTCAGATTGGGGCAGGTGGTCTAAATTTATAGACGAGAGTCCTCTTCTTCGGGTTGGTTTTGAATCACTGACGTGTCTGTTTGTAATCATTTCAAACTCTCCAGTGGCTCATGTACCAAATGTACGTAGCTGTACTATTCTGCGTCTGTGGTGTTTTATTGATCAAATTTCTCTGTAGCAGAGGCCCCTGTGTTAACCTGTTGTTGACTAGCTGTTGATTTCACACCTCAGGCATCTTCCCTTATCGTATGCAGGAGAGTGGATTTTACTGTCTGCTAGATGTTGAGTGAACATCATTTTTTTTCCTTTCCTGTTGTCTTTTAATAGCACCCAAAGACAAAGTGAGATGAACGGGGCATGCTCGGGGCGGAGGACTGAGTCGCTAAGAAGACCGGAGCTCCGGACGTCTCAAATCCTCAACGATCAACACTTTGTACCCATGTTCAGCGCTCTAAAGATGGAGATCAAACTTTTAGCAAACAACTTTTCCTTTGCCAAATACAAATCCTGCTCTCTGTGGATAATTTGTACAATTTCTAAATTAGAATTGTTTTGATGGCTATTTTATTATAACATTATTTGTAATCTAATTACAAATGGGTTTACTATATTAAGGGGATGTTAATGGGGTGTTTACTCTTCAATAAAGACAAATCATTTAATTATCTTGAGTTATATAATCCTGCCATGACACTTGTTTACTCTAGAACATTCTCCCAATATCACTGCTCTGAGTACAACTGTAGCTGTATTCTGTATTTAGAATGTTTTAATTATAGCTGACATAGTTTCCTCCGCGAACAAACGTGTTGATGATCCCATCAGGGTCTCCGTCTCAAACAGGCGACGCTAATGTTGCCGTCTACTGTCACAGGTCACAAATGGGTCTCTTCTGTCAACTTCTGTTTTCAGATCCATAATCCATAAATCATTTTATTAACAAACAAGATCTCCTTTCAAAGATACTGACTAGAAATATTTTGTTTTTGCTTACATAATATTGACTTGTATTATTCTCATGTATGGGCTTGGTCCTGAGAAGAATCTTGTTCCTCTAGTTTGAGACTAATCAGGACATTTGCCAATAAATTTGTGAGTATTTAGTAAACATGTGTCTTGTTCAGAGCAATAATAATGTTTACTCTCTCTCTATATATATATATATATATACACCAACTAAAGGCTGTTATAGGAGTATTTCTCCTAAATGTTTCCAATGATGCGTTTGGGTGGATGGAAAAAGCTAAATTTCCCCCAGGTCAGATCTTGTGATTAAAAAAAGGTGCAGAGTAAACGTTTCACTGAGGCTCTCCCCCCTTCTGCTCTCCCCCATAGTCTCATCCCTCCCCAAGAATACGCTCCATTTGGGACAAATCACTTGCGATCAATTGTCATTTATGCAACTGAGGAATCCATTAAAATGAGTTTGCAGTAGAAGTCTCTGTGTCTCTCGCTTCCTGTCATCCATCCCTCTTTAGAAACACACAAGCAGCGTAATCCGTAACCGTAGCAAGTCGATAAGCCACATCCCAGTTTGGGCTGATGGATTAATGAGCTAGTTGTCGTCCTAATGACAAAATCATCAATAACTTTTTTTTGGGGGGGGCTCCACTGAAAACTGCATCCCTTGTTACCTATGACCATGTAATGGATTTTACACCTCCCGGGATCGTCTATGTCAGCCATTAACATTTTATGTAAACCAGGCAACCTCCCAAATGTAATATATGCCTCTGGCTAATGTGTCAATTTAGTAACCACGAAACCAGTCAAACTAGATTTAGAGGAAACGTAGTCTAAATAGTAGTCTTAGTCAAAACAAAGCTACAAAAAGCTTCTAACCAATATACCGAACTCCCTGGTCTCCCGACTAGGCCAGTGTGCGAGCGGTGGTGCGATTGCATATAGAGAAGCCACTGAGTGCACACAAAGGTTTGTGCTGAAAACGCTTCATGAGTATATCTATTTTTAGCTCTGAATCAATTAAGGCCTTACTGAAGTCCTAACAGTATACGGTGAAAAGAAATACTTACATAATCAGCTCTTTTCTCAAAAGTGAGAAATCATAATTAGTATTGGTCAATTTTGCTGCTGTTCTGAGAAAAGAACAGCTGGACGTTTTGATCATATGAGTGAACATAAAGAGAAGTGAGCAAATTGAGGAAAGTTGCAAATGCAATTTTTTCAAATTTTGGATGTTTTCCTGTAGTATTGTATGACTCAGTCAGTAGATGTCTGCTGAAATACTGCTGCCATTAAAAATAATGATGTTAAGACCGGAAAGGGAAAAACCATTAAGCGCCAGCAGAACAAAAAATATAATCAAATGTACCCAACAACACTGAAAATAAACGCTTTAATGTTTGAAAAACACCCCATTTCATCAAAAATAAAATTAGGTTAAAATGCCAGACAGATTGACTATCATCAGAAGAGGGCTGACAACCTTTCACTTTCTATCCTTGCTCCAGTAGGTATTGATCCCCGTAGCTTTCAATGTTGAAGCTCATGGAGCATGCTGGGGGGAGGCGGACCCTCAAGGGCAATGAAATTGTGCTTACGTACGCACTTGGAGGACTATGTCTGTATAGTGTATGAGTTCATTAATGCTTGCCATGAGATGAATTTGCATTCAAAAGCAGCGGCAACTCAGGGAAAGTTGCCTTGTTTAATTTCCGCCTCCTCTCGCATTTTAGAACATCAGTGTATGACGTGAACAGAAGAATTGCCCTTAACACGTCATAAAAAGATTGTTCCACTGGACTCGTGCCATGAACACAGTAAACTAACCCACCTGAAGGCACCATATGCATAAGAAAACCAACAGACTGTGTTTTCTGCTGCAAGTCGACAATATGTTCTGAGCAGCGACGCACATGCGTCTGACCGCTATTCTATATGGATTGGAGACCTTTTGCACTTCTCACCATGTCAACTAAAAGTCATTACATACGTCATTACATATGCATGTTCCTTACTTGGGGCTAAAATCTGTTCATTTGCACGTCCAAATAAATGCTCCCAGATGTCATTAATACTCTATGTGTTTGCTCAGCCTCCTCATAGAGACAACAAGGTCCAACACAAGTCCATCAAATCATCCAGCAGAAAGAAGCACATTTCCAGTAAGGAAACAAGTTGTCCATGTTAACACGGACGAGATGAATTTGTCAACAGATTGAACTGGCGGGAATATTTCCGCTGCCCCGGACCCTGTCGAAAGGAGGTTTTGTGTCAATTATTTATACTCCGAGGTGTGTCGAGTTGTCGAGAGAACATACAGAGCAGATTAGGTTTTCTCTCCGTCTCTATCTGCTGTTTCATTGGTCTCACAGAAGTGCTTGTCTTCTTTCTGTAGGAAATTCATTATGAAAATCATAAAAATAAAAACATCCCATTCGGCCCCACTAACAGTAAGAGTCAAACTGAGGCAAAGACACAATTAATGTTCTGTTGAATCGGAGGAAAACTCTGAGTGTCTCTAAAAAGGTGCAGTTAGCGAATATCAATAACTGTTGGACTGTTGGTTTATAATTCTCGAATGAGCTTTAGCTGTTTGTCATAAAAGGAGAATAAAAAGCACTGCATGGCATTCAAGCAAAGCACTTGAATTTCATGTTTTCAATTTTAAAATAGTTTCTGAGGTTGATTGTACACATTGATTGTACACATTCAGCACTGCCAGCGTGCACGGTAAAAAGGGTTACAAATGCTTCTTTATATTTCCCATTCATTGATAATAATACTGAGGGTTCCCGATGTAGCTTAGCATTTTGCTTTACCAATCATTATTCTTTGTGCTTCAACGCTTGCCACTCTAATACAGCCTTTATTCTATTGTTACGACCCCCTGGATGGTCTAGGGGTGCGGGGACCATAAACATATAGGCAGAACCTGGTCAGTTGTAAAAGGGTAGGATTTATTTGCAACCAGAGGAAAACAGGCACGTGACAACAAACAAAAGGAGGGTGGATGAGGGTGCTGTGAAAGACAAACTAAGTAAAAGAAAAGAGATCCCCAAAAGGAGGACTAAGCCTGAATATACGTTAAAACAAACAGTAGGCGCGTACCAGAAAAAGACACAAAGAGCACAGCACCCACTACACCTATGACACTAACAAACAAAGAACTACGTGTGGTGAAATCAGTGTAAACTCTGGCCCTACCTCACCCCCTCTTGTCAGCTTCGTGCTGGCAAAAAACACAGACCCCAAAAACACAGTACTCTACGTAGGTGCACTCAATCACAAACACAACAGGCACACAAGTCCACTGGCCAAGACAAGCTGCCTCGAGCCACTGGTGGGCTCTCCTTAAGTGCTGGAGGTAAGGCTGCGATGGTGTCCTGCCATTGGGCGCGCTGGGACCAATGGGTGGAGCTGGAGTGAACCTGTGGTGCTCCACCAAAACCAGGAAGTAGGCGGGGCCTCAGTCCACAGGGCCGCACAGCCTACTTGGTACAGACAGGAAAGAAATACAGACCACGGTGACAGCCGTAACTCCCCAGTTTGACAGTTTAAACTCAAACACATTGCTGCTGTATTAGGTGTGCAGTCTAGATAAGGCATCTGCAATAATGTTCTCTGAACCTTTCTTGTGCCGTATCTCCAGGTTGTATTCTTGTGCCATTAAGGCCCACCTCATGAGTCTCTGGTTATGGTTGTACATCCGGGCCAAGAACACGAGTGGGTTATGGTCCGTGTAAACCACCACCGGCAGAGAGCTGGAACCCACATAGACTTCAAAATGCTGTAAGGCCAACAACAAAGCAAGGGTCTCTTTTTCGATGGTCGAATAGTTAATCTGATGGCGGTTATACTTCTTTGAGAAGTAACATACAGGATGGTCTATACCCTCTACATCTTCCTGCAGAAGCACGGCACCAGCTCCCACGGCGCTGGCGTCCACCTCTAGCTTTAAAGGCTTTGAAAACTCGGGGGCCGCCAGGACGGGAGCGTGGCAGATGATGTACTTAGCACTATCGAACGCGACTTGACACTCTGGGGTCCACACAAAGTCGACTTTAGGGCTAAGCAACCTGGGTCAACGGTTCGACCACAGACGAGAAGTTTCTACAAAAAGCTCTGTAGTAACCAGCCAGACCGAGAAACGAGCGCAACGCTTTACGAGTGGCTGGAACTGGACTTGAAGAAATAGCTTCTACTTTTGCCTCCACTGGACGAACTTGACCTTGGCCAACTTGACGGCCTAGATAGGTCAAAGTGGCCTTCCCGAACTCACATTTCGCGAGGTTAATGGTAAGGTTGGCGTGGGCAAAGCGAGAAAACACTTCCGAGAGGGTGAGCATGTGACTCTCCCAGGTATTGGAGTAGATAATGAGATCATCCATATAGGCATTACAGTTTCTAACACCGGCTAGCACGGTGTTCATTAATCTCTGGAAGGTAGCGGGAGCGTTGCACATCCCAAAGGCCATCACAGTGTACTGTAAAAAGTCATCTGGAGTCACAAAGGCTGAGATCTCAGATGCACGCTCAGTAAGGGGGACTTGCCAGTATCCTTTTAAGAGATCTAGTTTGCTCACAAACACGGCTGTACCGAGGGCATCAACGCAATCTTCCATCCGCGGCAAGGGATACGAATCACGCACAGTGACTGCATTAACTTTTATAAAGTCTGTGATAAATCTCGGTGAACCATCAGACTTCTTTTCCACAAGACATGGAGAACTCCATGGACTGGAACTAGGCTTGGCAAGGCCATGCTGAAGGAGGTACTCTACCTCACCTTTCATTACTTCACGCCTCATTACATTTGCACGGTACGGATGCTGCTTAATGGGACGCGGGTTTGTTAGTTCAACATCATGTTTTACTACGTTAGTTCTGCCTGGCACGTCACTGAACAAGCTTGGAAACTGCGTAATTAACTCTATCACGTCCTGCCTTTGGGCATGGGACAGATGTGGTAAGCAGGTAGGTAATGCCTCAACCGCCTCCGAGTTAGTGAGACGGGAACCTGGATAGACGGGACAACGCGGCCGTACATCGTCGACGTCTGGTAAAGGCATGGGGTCAGACACAGTTAAAGCTACCACTCCAAGCGGAGGTTTCCCAATTACGGAGTGCGGTCTGCACCCCC